CCCCCACCAGGCTCTGTGCCAGTCAGTCAGCTCTGAAATCGAAGGTCAACATGAAGGAGAGGGTCTCCACCCCCATACTATCCAGGGATTCTCCGGAGACAGCAACTAGAGACAGCAGATTCCCCAGGTTCAGTCTTAGGCAGGGAGAGAATGGGAGGATGGGAGAAGGCACGTGATACACACTCCAGCCTTTCCCGAGAAATAACAGCAGCATGGGCGTGTGCACACGTATACACATTACCCCCAGGACTGCAAAGTAAACACGAGTGGACAGGTGATTTGAGCCCAGAAGGCAGTTTAGATGTACAGTAGAGCACTGTGTTCTTCACTCCAGCTGAGAAGAAATCTCAGAAGGGAGGGCTAAGGGGGAGCAAGAAGCCACACCTTCCAACACCCCCTCTGGTCCAAGGTCCTCGGACCTTCCTTGTTAGCGTCTTTTGCTTTCTACTCGCGATGAAGGGGCAAGAAGGTGAGAGGAGTTGGGGTGGTTGTGAACACCAGGGTTTTGCCTTGGCCAGTTCCTCAATCTCGTTGAAAGATTGCTTCCTCTCAACCCTGGCAGTCTCGGCTGGGAAGACCCAGGGGGCCTGATCTTCTTTTTGGCCCCTGAAGAAGGGGTCTAGCTAAAGCAGGGTAAGCTGTCAGTGACCAGGTAGCGTGGGATTGGGGGTCACTGCCTGGAGAGTGGGATCCTGTATTCTTCGGAAGATGGCTGGGAAATTCTTCCCTCCATTGCGTAGAACTTTCTTTCCCTCTTCAGTTGAAGTGCCCAGGTGTCCCACAATGGGGTCTTCACTCTGGGACAAGAAAGGGTCCAGATAAGTCCTTGCCTGTTTCAGATTCCCCCCTGGCTTCTAGACTCCCATCTCATCCTCTTGGCACTGAGCTGGGTTCAAAGGATACAGGAACCATTCTAGAAAGTCCTGCATTTTCGTCAATTCCCACAGGCCGCCTACTTACCAGCTCCTCCAGAGGCACACGCTCAAACAGAGGGTGCCCTTCAAAATGGGTGCACATCCAGTCATGTAGCTCCAGCACATCGGTTATGGTATATACCAGCCCCTGTATAAGCAAAGTCGGACTAGACGGGGGCTGCATGCATTTCAGCACTGAGATGATAGGAGTGGTGGCATGAGACCCTAAACCCACCCTCATTTGATTCTCAAGGAGGGCCCCTGAACAGACCACTCATCTGACCCTCCCTCCCACTCCCAACTCACCCCAACTCTCAGCACATAGGCATATTCTGCCAGTAGTGTGGGACTGATGATTCGCCACTTGTGCTTCGTCCGCTTGAAATGTGGGTCCGGAAAGAGGAAGAACATCTTCGTCAGCTGTGAGACAGACAGTGCACATACAGGATGATAAGGGCCTGGCCTCCACACCCCTGTCTGCCTACCAGCCTAACCCAGCAGGGCCCCTCCCCACCTGGCCCTTTCGGAAGAAGTTAGGAAGATGCTTCATGGCATTACTACGGAGACAGGCGATGTTCTGGAAGCCACCTCCGGGAGCTGCGCGTAGGGCCCGAATACGATCTTGTACATAGTCCGAAACCTTCACCCGAATCTCGAGGCCCAGAATCAGTGTGTTTGGGAACAGCGGTGACAGTTCCACTAGACACAGAAAGAGGAATGGAATCATCAACCGAGACTTGTAGGAAGTGCAAAGGGGTCAACACAAGAAAGGAAGCCTCAATCTTTAACAACCAAAGCCAGGAATGGCCAGTGGGAACAGGGAGCTACATACAGTAAAAGCTGTGAAAGCCAGAACCTGTGTAAGGAAGAAACCTGTCAGAGAAGGAAAACTCAAATATTTTCCAGGTTTCACTGTATATAAATGGCTCTGTGTTAGAGGAGAGAACTGAGGGAGATACAGAAATTGTCACCAGAACTGGAAATGGGGGTGGGGGTGGGGGCTAGGAATACATGTTTATTTACGAGTACTTTAAAGTTTTCATACGTTGTCTCATTTAAGCCTTATAACACGTGGTAAAATGTAAAGATGAGGAAACTCAGGGTGAGAAACGCCCAAGGTCATAGAACTAAGAAGGGTTAGAACTGGAACTTGAACCAAGGTTTTCTGATTCAAATACCATACTCTTCCTTTCTGTCATACACTTATCTGTATGGGAAGATCTAAAAATAGGGAGCTGATCCTGCATGCATGGCTGGGACAATACCGACAACACGAGACAATACAAGAGGGACCTGAAAACACACGAGAGGAGTGGAAGGCATGAGTTCTGGTAAGGGTGGGGGTGGGGGGTGGTAGAATCCCTGAGAAAGACAGTTCAGGATCACTGGCCACAGTGACTAATCTCTGATGCGTGTGCTGACCAGCTCACTGAACCCAGCACCTAGCAGGTGAAACGGCTTATGAAGGAATTGGGGCCAGGGGTGGGGCCAGACAGGACAACCCAGGTTCTAAGAGGTATTTGAGGCAGCCTGCTCCTTTCTCCAGGGCAAAGTCCACAGACCCAGAGTAGAGGGAAGGTAGAGGCTCTCCACACTGATGTCCCGGCGCCAGAGTCTGGTCCGAAGGGGGAAAGGCCAACTGTGGGCCCCACCAAACCTGCTGAAGTCGCAGAACCTAGGCCGTTGCCTCTCCTTGCCCCAAAGAAAGTGTCAAGAGCGTTACCTAACAGGCCACCATAGCCACAGCCTATGTCTGCAAACTCCACTTGGGCCTGAGGTCTTTCCTCTTTCTTATCCTTTAGGTCATCATGGCTCTGATTTTGGGTCAGTGGGGCGAAGAACTCTGGGTATAACTCAGACCAGTCCATCTCCTCTGGCTTCACAGGGCTATTGGAGAGAAGACGTGAGAGATGTGAGAAGGTCGGTCATACAATGCAGAAGTGGTGCTGTGTGTGTGTGGGAGGGGAAGTGGGGGTGGGAGGTGGGTGGGAGGAGGGTTTCTCAAAAATTCTGTAACAGTGGGCTCTGTGGTCTCTAGGGAACAAACTGGAAACCACTCTTAAACCTCAGTGTCAATCACAGGCCCATCATGAGGTCCATGATTGCTGACCTGCCCATCTCCATCTTCTAGGGGTTGATGTGAGTCTGGCCGGGGCAGAAATTTGTTCCCCTTCTCCCAGAGACTGGCTGCCTAAGTCTCGGGGACCCTACTTTATAAATTCTGTGGGTTAGAGAGGGAGTAAGGTGTGGGCGGGACTGCGTGTGTGTGTCTTTTTATTGAATCCAACAAACGAAACCGAAAGATGGAAACGGCATAGTGGCTTTTTCACTTTGGTCTCAAGCAATAATCTCTTTCTCTTCCTATACTTGCAGCGCTACACAGATTTCTTCCAGAACGCCACGCCCACTCCCAACCAGTCAACTCCGCCCTCTGTCCCACCTCCCGGACCCACCCCTAACAACACAGACGTCACCTAGATGATTCTCCCAGGTTTATCCGAAATCCACCCCACCGTCCCTGGATAACTGGTCTCTCGTCCCTTTACGCTGGACTGAGCTGCTCTGGGTTGTTTCGAGAATTTCGCCTTCCTCTCTCCCGCCCCTGCTTCCTGTCCCGCTCACTCACTAGCGCAGTGTATGGTCCGCCATGGGGTTGGAGTGAGCACGTTGCCGGTAGTAGCGCTTCTGGGGCTGCGGGGCCTCTGCTCCGGCCGCGTTCCCAGTCTCTACTCCCGCCATGATCCGCAGTCCGGGGTTTCTCTACCGAACCCACGTGGAGACAGAGGCAAGAGGCGCACGATAATGACGCAGTCAGGCACGTTGTGAGCATACCCCGCCCCTTAAAGACCCAAGCGCGAATTCGGCTTGGCTAGGCTGGGAGGGGCGAGTAGAGAAGGGCGCCTCCGCGCCTTCAGTCTCTAACTGAGCTGGCAAGGCCAGCCCCAGGAACCCAACCTCTTTTTTTCCCTTAGCCTGCTTCTACTTGGGTCTGGGTTGCTATACTGGTTGCAGGCGCCTGTGCGCCCCACAGGTGAAAGGGGTCTGAGGACCCCGCCTCCTACCATGGAATTAATCCTTGCTCCTCTCCCCTCTCCCCCGGTCTCGGACCGGTCTGCCTGGGCTAACCCGCGTGGTCCGGCTTAGGTTCGGTTGGTTGCGCGCTGAGGACCCGGGCGGGGGAGAAAGTCAAACTGGAGGAAGGAGGGCAAACTCGGGGAGGCGGGCTCGGTGCCACTGGGACGCCGAGACGGCCCGCGGTCCCCACCCCCCGCCCCGCTGCAGATCCGGGATCCAAGCAAGGGACGTGGCGCCCGGGCACGCTCGGCCGGATGGCGGACCCGGGCCTAGAGCCGGAATCAGAGCCAGAATCGGTGTTCCCGCGGGAGGTCGGGCTCTTCGCGGACTCTTACTCGGAGAAAAGTCGGTTCTGCTTCTGTGGGCACGTGCTGAATATCACGCAAAACTTCGGGTCCCGCCTCGGAGTAGCAGCGAGCGTGTGGGACGCGGTGAGGAGTGGGGCTGCTCCGGGTGAGGGTCCCGGGCGGTCCGGACTCCGACTCTCCTAGCGGGAACCATCCCAGCGACAGTCCCCCCCGCCCCCTTTTTTTTCCTCTCTCTTTTCTCCCATAGGCTCTGAGCCTGTGCAGTTATTTCGAGAGTCAAAATGTGGATTTCCGAGGCAAGAAGGTGATCGAACTGGGCGCGGGGACGGGCATCGTGGGGATTCTGGCTGCGCTGCAGGGTGCGTGAACCGGCTTTGCGGCGGGAGGAGGTATTGGGGGGAGAAGGAATGTGGAGAAATTGTCACTTTGTGGATTCTTGGGGGAATGGGAATGGTTTTACCCCAGCCCGTTCCCTTCCTTTTAATAAACTTTTTTTTTTTCATGCCCATCTGTGTGCCAGGCAGCGTTGATTGGCTCTCGGAGGCGGTCGATTGATTTGGTGGCAGGAAATAAAATCGGCAGGCTTTAGTAGAAGGAATAGTGTCTGCTTTTTTGCTCTTTGGTTGTTTCATGGAGAATGCTGTTACTTAAAATCCTCTTAGCTTTGGACGTGATCTTTTGTTAAAATACATATATGGGGATACCTTGTAGGGGGAACAGCCAGAGAGACCAGCACTTATGACACCTCATGAGTCCTTTATAACTTCATTATGAATATGTTTTAGATTCTTTAGTTTTTGACTGCTTGGGAGAAGCAAGCTTATGGGTTTCCGAGGGTTCAGGAGTGTTTTGGGGGAGATGCGGGGTAGGAATCAGGCATGGGCGAGTTGGAGAAGAAAAACGTAAGGTAACAGTCTTCAGTTTTGTTAAGAACCAACAACTACAAAAGAAACAATTCCTTAATTTATAATCTAATGGGCAGACAAAACTCCATACCAGAAACAATCATTTAAACACACAGTCATCTTCCTAGGACAGCAAATTAACATATCCTTGTTCATAAGTAGGAAACCCTGGTGACATAGTGGTTAAGTGCAACGGCTGCTAATCAAAAGGTCAACAGTTCGAATCCACCAAGCGCTCCCTGGAAACTCTACAGGGCAATTCTACTCTGTCCTATAGGGTCACTATGAGTCGGAATCGACTTGACAGCAACGGGTTTGGTTTTTGTTCATAAGGAAAGAATTAGGTCACATTAAGGGAAGTCTTCCCAGAGGTGGGCATTCATTCTTCTATTCATTCAGCCAACATGTATTTTGTTGAGTCTCCTGTGTGCCAAGAATTATGTTAGGTATTAGGAATACAACAATGAGTAAGACAGATTGCCTTCCCCCAAATTGCTTAGGGTCTAGTGGGGGTGATGGGGGAAAATGTTACAGTACAAGAACTATGGTGAGGTACGTATAGGGAGTAGTGGATACTTTCTGACCATGTCTAACTTTGACTCTTTGGGACTCCCATCAAGGGGAAGCTCTGTCAGAAGAGAAGAAGGTGAACGATGTGAACACTGTGGGATCAGAGAGAAGGGAAGTGTCAACAGCAGTTTTTCCATGAGGGATGGGTGGATGAGAGGCAGGCAGTTATGCTAAAAGGGGAAGAAAAGGCCTGTAATATGGACAGGATTATCTACCTTCACTTGTTCCCAGACTGGCTTCTGTTCTGTCCCCTGTTCAGCTGCCAAGTCAGAAATCTGTGTCATCTGGTCTCTTGCTCTCTCCCCTTACACCGTGGCAATCAGCCAGTCCTATGGGTTATATGTCCTTAATACTTCCCCAGTTGTCCACTACTGTACCCACCAATTCTAGTTCAGGCCACTGCTGCCTCTTGCCTGGATTTTCACAAGAGCTTTCAAGCTTCCCCATGGGGAAGTCTGGCATGCCCGAACTAGATCTTGTGATCTTCCCCGCCAAAGCTGTTTCTCCCTTAGGTTTTGACGTCTCAGTGAATCCAGCCACCCTCCACCCGGTGGGAAACCTAGCCATCACCTTTGACACATCCTTTTTTCTCACCCTCATATTCGTTGTTCAAGTCCTATTGATTTTATCTCCTAAATATCTCTTGAATTTTCTCGTGTTTTCCTTTTTCACTGACAGCTCCCCAGTCCAAGCCACCACCATCAGTTGCTTGGACTGCTATACAGGCAGTCCCCAGGTTACGAATGTAAAGTCCTTAAGAAAGTTCAGCTCGTACTTAAGAATTGATAAATGGATGCCATAAAAGCTATTATATTAAAAATTTGAGTTAAATACATACAATGGTTTGAATAACAAACACTACTTTGTGATGCTCGTCTCATGAAAACATTGTGTGGTCTGAAGTATTTCTTAGGTGTTTTATATGCATAGAAAGGTAAACTATATACTATGTACTGAAACAGACATTTGAATAACTGACACTAAATAAGAACCATGTGTATCTGTTTCGACTTACCTACAAATTCGAATTAAAGACAGACTTAAGAATGGATCTTGTTCATAACCCCGGGACTGCCAGTAATTAGCCAAACTGGTCTTCCTGCCTCTACTCCTTGCCCCTGCCTAGGCCTCCATCCATTCCACGCGGCAGTCAGACTGATCGTTCCAAAATGCAACTGTAATCACATGTCTCCCCCGCTTCCAAATCTTCCAATGACTTCTCGATGCTTTCGGGATAAAATCAACACCATGAGCACGGTTCTGCCTCCGTCTCCAATCTCTTTCTGCCTCTCTCCCTCCCATGCTCCTTGTGCTCTAGCCACATTGCCCTCTGCTAGTTCCTCAAGGCTACTTTGGGATTTCCTTCTTGGGGGCTTCACACAGGCTGTACTCTGTCTGAAACCATTTCACCACCTGGTTAATGCATATTATATAAAGACTGAATTTTCTGCATATACATATGTCGTTGTTAGGTCCCATTGAGTCAATTTCAACTTGTAACAGCTCTACGTGACAGAGTAGAACTGCCCCCATAGGGTCTTCTATGCTGTAATCTTTACTGGAGCAGATCACCACGTCTTTCTTCCATGGAGCCTCTGGGTAGGTTTGAACTGCCAGCCAACCTTTCAGTTAGCAGTGGAGCACTTAACTGTTGTACCACCAGATATCTATATCTATGTATCTATCTGTGTATCTGTCTATGTATCTATGTATTTATCTACATATATATGCTGCAATTTCTCCTATCAGAAGAAATTCTTGATCCTATATTTCCTTCCAGTTACCACCCATTTCTCTGCTTCATGCTTCATGTTGCAAAAAACTCAAAAGAGTTAATACCTGCTGTCTCTGGTTCCTGTCTTCCTCTTTTCCTCAGTCCATTCCAGTCAGACTTGTGTCCCATCATACCCCTTCCACTCCAGCTGCTCTAGTCAAGGTTACTAAATGATTTCCCTGTTGTTAAATCTAGGGGTCAGTTATTAGCCCCTTACTTGGCTTTGCAGCATTTGACACTCCCTCCTCTTTGAAACACTTCCTTTGGCTTCCAGGGCACCACACTTCTGGTTTCTGCCTACCTTCCTGGTTCTCCGTTCCAGCCTCCTTTTTTGGTTCCTTTTCATCTTCACAACGAAAAGTCTGAGTGCCCCAGGCCTCAGGTACAGTCCTTTGACCCCTTCTGTTTTCTGTCTACACTCATTCCCAAGCAATCCCTATCATTTTATCGCTTCCTTTGCCTCTCTATGTTGACGACCCTATGAATCTCCCATTTCTATCTTCTGACTTGTTTGTGTAACCTACTCTGTATCTCCGTTTGCTTGTCTGATAGACATCTCAAACTTAACGTGTCCTGAAATGAACTCATGATGATCCTGTTTAAACCTGCTCCTCCTGCAGTCTTCCGCGTCTAAATGAATGGCAATTCTGTCTTCTAGTTGGTCAGGCCAAAAATCTTGGAGTCATTCTCAACTTCTCTCTCTCTCTCTCTAATATCTCATATCCAATCTGTCAGCAAATCCTTTTGGTTCTACTTGCAAAATATATTCAGGATCCAGCCATTTCTTAGCCATTGCTACTGCCCTGTTTCATGCTTCACCCTCGCACTTATGTCAAGAAATCTGGTGGCACAGTGGCTCAGTGCTGGGCTGCTAACTCAGAGGTTGGCAGTTCAGTGCTACCTAGTGGCTCCACGAGAGAAACATCTGGTGATCTGCTCCTGTAAAGATTACAGCCTAGAAAACCCTATGGGGAAATTCTACTCTGTCGCATGGGGTTGTGATGAGTTGAAATCGATTCAATGGCACCTAACAACAGCAACAACATAGCACTTATTACCATCTGATATAAAGTATATTTTTAAATTTTGTTTGTAATTGTCCATTACTGGCTACTAGATTGTAGACTGTAAGATCCGTAAGGGGAAGGATTCTTGTCTGCTTGCTTCACTGCTATATTCTCAGCACCTGGCATATCATAGGCATATAATAAACATTAATGAATGAATGAATGCTTAGTGCTTTTGCCTTCTCTTTCTATAATTGTTATCATGATTATGATTAAATAGTTACCTTTGCAGTACCTACTGTGTCTGCACCTGGAGAATAAAGCTCAAGGAAGGCTGAGGTTTTGTCTTGCTCACCACTGTATCCCCAGCACTTAGGAGGTGCTCAGTACATGTTTATTGGATGAATGAAGCTTTCTGAAATCCTAATCTGATCGTCTTTACCTGCTGTTCTACCCTAAAACCCATTGCCCTCAGGATCAAGTCTGAATGTCCTTAGCGTTTCATAATCACTCTCCTCTTTAATTTCATGTCTTGACACTTCTCTCTCTCTTGTGTATCTTTTAAAATTCAGCCTTCCTTGAATGCACATGCTGTCTCACCACAAGGCCTTTGTACTCGCTCTTCTGTGCATGGAAAGCTCACCTGACAAACTCCTGCTTGTCCTTCAGGGCTCAGCTTAGGTCACATCTTCTGGGAAGCTTTCCAGACTCGTGCAGGCTGGGCTTGTGTCAATGGAGCTGGGTGCACAGCCTGTCTCCAGCTTAGTCCTGCCCAGGCTTCTGCTGATGTCTGATTGTTGTGTGTTGGGCAGACAGGTTGAAGATTAGCTCAGTGGAATGTTGTTGTTGTAGAATGTGGAGTAATTAGAATGGCAGTGGGTGAGGTGAAGGTTAGTGCAACTAAAAGCCCAAATATAGACCTTGTGCTGTCAAGACATTATCCTCTAGGTCCTGAGGTCTCTGGACTTTCCAGGCAGGAGCCGAAGGCCCTTGGTTGGTCCCTCTGACTTGCATTTTCTCCTCCTTCCTCTCTCTCAGGGGGGAATGTTACCATCACTGACCTGCCCCTGGCCCTAGAACAGATCCAGGGCAACGTCCAGGCCAATGTGCCAGCTGGAGACCAGGCCCAGGTCCGCGCCTTGTCCTGGGGGATTGACCAGCATGTCTTTCCTGGAGACTATGACCTGGTGCTGGGGGCTGATATCGTTTACCTGGAGCCTACCTTCCCACTGCTGCTGGGAACCCTTCAACACCTGTGCGGGCCCCATGGTACCGTCTATCTGGCCTCCAAGATGAGACAGGAGCATGGGACAGAGAGCTTCTTTCAGCGCCTCCTTCCCCAGCATTTCCAGCTGGAGCTGGTCCAGCGGGATGAGGATGTGAATGTCAACATCTATAGGGCCAGGCCCAGGGAACCAAGACCTGCTTGATGTTACCTCCTCTGCTCCTCTGAACCTCTCGTCTTAATGAAGGAACTGCCATATCTCCAAAGCTGTATCTCCAGAGCCATACATGGAAAGACCCAAAAGGATGGATTTCCCTGCCCTCTCTCTCTTTCTTCCTCTTCTCTTTGTTCCCCCAGATATTCTTGGGCAGCTGCAGGGAGGTGCCTCCTTTCTAAAGTCCAAGACTCTAGCACTACTAGTCTTAGAGTACAAAGGAGGCTCCCACCTCCTGTTCTGACGGGAGAGTGGGATGGTGTTCACAGTTTTTAGGTGTGGGGAGGTAAATGGGATGTGAGATCAGTGGCTACAGATAGACTGATCACTTCCAGTCCTGCCATTGTCTATTTATACTGAATAGATTTTTTGCTAGATTCTATGGACGTTGTTAAAGGGAAAGAAATGAGCATTAAAGAGCTCCTCTGCATCTAAAGAACTCAGGTTTCTGCCTTGGGGCCCGAGAAGAAAGAAGCCTCAGACCATCCATTTGTTACTTCTAGAGATGGAGTCTGGCAGGAAGGCACCATGGCTCTGACTGGATCAAGCCCTCCCAGCACTGATGCTGGGGTTAGGCACAGAGCTCTCCTTTGGACTGTAGCTCCTTCATCCTTTTTGCAGTTGGAGCCCTAATCACAGAACATTATGCCGTGCAGAAGAGCATTGGACTGAGTATTAGATTCTTCTCATCTTTGATTTTTCTTTAGATTTCCAAGCCCCATCATTTCTTCCTTCCTAATGTGCTTTGCCTTCACCTCTCTTCTGTTCTCACTGCGGCCTTCTGGTTGGGCCAAATAGCCACCTCTAGACTACCTACCTCCCTTCTCTTCAAGCCGTTCTACAGACTTTTATGATCTTCCAAAATCGGCTGATTTGCTCTTGCTGTCCATAGAAGCAACAACAGGCTACTTTGCTTGGTACTCAGTCTATCCTCATGTAATTCCAGTACTACCCTTCTACTTCGTTTCCTACTCCTATATGTATTGGAACCTCTGGCCAGATTACAAAAGGTCTACTCTTTTTTCCCTAAATCCACACCAAGATTTCCTGACTTCTTCTTTTGTTCTTTATGATGATCTCATGCCTAAAAGGGCTATTTCTATCTGTCAAAATCTTCATTACGCTTCTTAGATCCTGTCACATGTCACCTCTTTCCTGAAAATAGTTTTTCCTGAGCCTCCTATTTGAATGTAATTTCTTTTTCCCTTGGAACCCTTAACTTTGTTCAGCCTACAGGATTTACCTTGTCTTTTGTGGTCATTTCTCTCTCCTTATAATCTCACTACTAGGTTACCTGTGAGGGGAGGGCTGTGATTTACTCATCTCTAATCCTGGTGGGCAGTTCGAACCCAGCCAGAGGTACCTGGGAGGACAGGCCTGGTGATCTGCTTTCAAAAGGTCACAGCCTTGAAAGCCCTATGGAGCAGTTCTACTCTGCACATGTGGGGTTGCCATGAGTCAGAATCAACTCAGCAGCAATTGACGACAACAATCCTCTGAAGCTGAGCACAGTTCCTGGCACACAGTAGGTGTTCAACAAGTATTTTGCTTATTCAACAAATATTTACTCTGTGTTTGTTGAAGAGATTCCACTCCTACCTCCCTAGGGGACCTCGGACAAATTTCTGAACATGCCTGCCTACCTCACAAGTTTATCCAGAATCATAAATGGATAATGGATAATAATATTGATAGTGGATACTAAGGAAATGGATAATGAATAATAATGATGAAGCACATTGGAAATAAAGAAACGAAAAGCATTACCTAAATGTCTGGCATTGTTATCATTTTGTGACAACTTTATCTCATGCCTTCCTCTGTTTTACCGGTGGTAAATTCCCTTTTGAAGTGTAGTCCAATAATAGGAGAGGCGACTGTGCCCTATCCGGCCGTTAGGTGGCGCCATCCTCGTTTGGAGAGGTTTGGCCCCGCTGACACGCCGTAGGCCTGTCGCTTCAGGTGCTCCCGCCTGCGCAGTGCGCGGCGTCCGGAGAGATGTTGCTGCTACGGTCACTACGCCTTTGCCTGGTCCCGCGGACCGGAAGCCGCCCGGTGAGGTGTCTTGGCCCTGGCACCGACTGTCGAGTCTGACCTCCCTTCCCTGCAGCTCTCTCGTGCGGCTGGAGCGCACCCTTCCTTCCTCCCGGCGCCAGTTCGACCCCATCCCATCCTTCCTCGGACGGCCTCTCTTTGCCGTCCATACCCCTTTCACCCATTTCCCGAGCCCCAGCCTCTCCTTAGATCCCCTTCCAGCGCGTAGGCTTCCCACCGCCTAGGGGTCTTCGTTGGTTCTCGCTTCTCATCCCTTTCTCTTGCCCTCTCCAGGCGGGGCCTCTTCTGCTTCAGCCACCCCAGCCATGGCCCACGTTTCACACTGGGCCCTGGCTTTATGCCTCGGCTTCCAGCAAGGAGCTCCTCATGAAGCTGCGGCGGAAGACGGGCTACTCTTTTGTGAACTGCAAGAAAGCTCTGGAGACTTGTGGTGGGGATCTCAAAGAGGTGTGTGTGGTGGAGGAGGTAGGGCGGGGTGCTAGGGCCCGACGACTTCACACTCTAGAGGACAGAAGTAAGGCCTGCTGCCGTCTAACCTGTAAGGGCAGAGCCCTAGATGGAGTTCTGGCTTAACTGACTGAACCTCAGTCTTTGTCTGATTTGACTCAGGATTCCAGGGTTAACAAACCCTAATCTGTGGAATTCCAGAACGCTTAATTGTGCTCATGAGGAATCTGTACATAGATCAAGAGGCAGTCATTTGAACAGAGCAAGGGGATACTGCATGGTTTAAAGTCAGGAAAGGTGTGTGTCAGAGTTGTATTCTTTCACCATACTTATTCAGTCTGTATGCTGAGCAAATAATCGAGAAACGACTATGAAGAAGAACGGGCATCAGGATTGGAGGAAGACTCATTAACAACCTGTGATATGCAGATGACCCAACCTTGCTCGCTGAAAGTGAAGAGGACTTGAAGCACTTACTGATGAAGATCAAAGACCACAGCCTTCAGTGTAGATTACGTCTCAACATAAAGACAACAAAAATCCTCACAACTGGACCAGTAAGCAACATCATGATAAACCAAGAAAAGATTGAAGTTGTCAAGGATTTCATTTTACTTGGATCCACGATCAACACCCATGGAAGCAGCAGTCAAGAAATCAGACGATGCGTTGCATTGGGCAGATCTGCTGCAAAAGACCTCTTTAAAGTGTTGAAAAGTAAAGATGTCACCTTGAAGACTGATGTGCACCTGACTCAAGCCATGGTGTTTTCAGTCGCCTCGTATGCATGCGAAAGCTGGATGATGAATAAGGGAGACCGAAGAAGAATTGACACCTTTGAATTGTGGTGTTGGCAAACAATATTGAATATACCATGGACTGCCAAAAGAACAAACAAATCTGTCTTGGAAGAAATACAACCAGAATGCTCCTTAGAAGCAAGGATGACGAGACTATGTCTCACATACTTTTGACATGTTATCAGGAGGAGGGTCATCAAAAAAGAGGAAGACCCTCAATGAGGTGGATCGACACAGTGGCTGCAACAGTGGCCTTAAGGATAACGATTGTGAGGATGGCACAGGACCAGGCAATGTTTTGTTCTGTTGTACTTGGGGTTGCTGTGAGTTGGAACCTACTCAGCGGCACCTAACGACAACAACAACATCCCATGCAAGATTTTCCTGCTCTTTCCTGCTACTTGGAGTGGAGAGGGCTTGTGTGAGCTTTAGAGTTAGAGACACCAGGTCTTAAATATGGTGCCCTCACATGAACCTTGTGACTTTAGACATCTTTCTTAATCTTTCAGAATCGCAGCATTCTTGTCTGTACAATGAAGATACTACTATCTGCCCCCTAGGGTTGTTGTGAAGATTAAATTTACCCAAAGCATCAGGTACGATGACTGGCATTTGCCATTTAGTGGTAGACTGCAACAAGTGATAGATTAGTTTCTATTATAGAATGTAGGAGAAGCAGAAAGAATCAGGGAACCTGAGCATATTTTAGAGCCTCATCCAGTTGTAAATTCTGTGATTTTGTCATCTGCCCCTTTTCTTTACAATCTGTAGGCAGAGAGTTGGCTCCACAAGCAGGCCCAGAAGGAGGGCTGGGACAAAGCTGTCAAACTCCATGGGAGGAAGACTAAGGAAGGCTTGATTGGGCTGCTGCAGGAAGGAAACACAACCGTGTTAGTAGAGGTGAGTTGTCAGAATTCTAGAGACCAGGAACAGCTGTCTTGAGGGTAAGGCTTTTGGGTAGACTTGGCATTCTAAAAGATGTCTGAGAATAGTAAAGGTAGTTAGAATTAAGCCTGTGAGACCTCAGTCGTTAGCTATGGATTCATTTAAGTAGAGAATCGCACAGGTATGTCGATGAGAAGAGGCCTAGCAGTCTAAAATATTACTCCTAACTGTGAATTTAGTGTAGCCTTACAGCTTGTCACTGATTGTTTATTGAAGCAGTTAGAGTTCAATGCTAGGAATTGTTTTGATTGCTTGATGGGTAGAGAGTAACTATTTTAGAGGAGGTTTAGGGCCATAATTGGTGAAGAATCACATATGATTAGAGAGAGAAGTGGATATGCACAAGCTGATAACAAGTGGTTTGGAGTTGGAGGTGGCTGAAGAATGAAGTAATTATGTCATACAGCCACAGGCAAGTGGTGAACTTATAGTGAGCCCTTCAGGGACGTTATGGAACTATCTTCTGAAGGTACAGGTCATTGTTGACTCATTGGCATAGCAGTAATCACTTCATTCAGTTTTTGGTCTCAAGTTAGAAGAAGAGTTATGGCTTTGAAATTCTAGAGTCATTTATTTCTGTTTTGTTGAGTCTGCAGCTTGTTTACCTCGGTTTGCTCTTAAGGCACTTTTGGAAACTGTCAGTAAACAGCTTATACAGCAGCATCAATCTTTTCCCACAGGTAAACTGTGAGACAGATTTTGTTTCCAGAAATTCAAAATTTCAACAGTTGGTCCAGCAAGTAGCTGTTGGAACCTTGCTACATTGTCAGAACCTAAAGGATCAACTCGCCACATACAGTAAAGTGAGCTTGGGGGTTTGTCTCTAACACGGTAAACTTGTGTCAGGTCTTTGTACTTGCTGTTCCTAATTTTTTTCAGGTATTCTCATGCCTCACTTCCCTTACTTCATTCATGTCTCTGCTTAAGTGTTACCTTCTATAAAAACAGCGTAGGGGCAGTGTCTGTCCTCTAACTTCACAAGGAGGAAGGAGAATCAAGATCAACAGCCCAAGGCTGATTCCTATGAGATGGGATTCAGACATGCCTCCCCTCTCTGCCATCTTTACCAATTCTGACACCAGCCATCCCTCCCATGGCACTCTCTGCTTCTCTGCTGGGTTTGATAATTCATTGCAGTGGCCATGCAGAGCTTATAGACCATACTCAAAATTATGGGGTTTATTAGGGAAGTAACATGTTACAGTTCAGGCTCAGGAACACTCAAGGATATAGTTCTTCCATCAGGACAGCCTGTTCCCAGCTGAGCTCACAGGCACACCCCTCCCTGGCCCTCATTCTCTGCCCAGAGGCACAGGCACTCAAGTTTTCTCGCTCCATAGGCCAGGAAGCCCACTGTGCCATCTCCCGCAGGCCTCTCCTGCTGGTCTCTTCTGCCGCTGCTTCTCACCGTCTTCAGGGTTACAGCTCGCTCGCTCTCTGGGTCTCTTGCTTCCAGGAGCTTCCCAGCGCAGGGATCCCAGGTCCAAACTACATGCTGGCTCCTGGCTGTTCTTCCTTGGTGGTGCTGGGATTCTTCTCCTTCCCAACTCTGGGAAATGGGGTGGCTCATTTCAAACCCGTGGTGTGGCAAAACTGACCAATCCTTTTGGTTGGGCATAGTTACCTCGTCACACAGTCTCGCCTAGTGACTTGGGTGGGAGTTCAAGACTATGGCTAGAAAGGCCCCACAGAATCAGTCTATGGCACTGACCTCCTCAGAGAGAAATGCCCGTTTTCCTGTTGCTGTATTCCTTTAGTCTTTATTCTTTCTTTTATTATAGAGCTTATCTGTTGTATATTTATTCATTTGTATATTATTTGTCTTCCTCAATAGAATGTAAGCTTCATGAGATCAATTTGTCCTCATCACTGTATCTCTAGTGAAAGAGGACTGGGCCCAGCACTTAGTTGGGGTTCAGTAAATCTTTGTTAATGAGTGAATAAATGCCAGTCGGGTGGAGTCAGCCAAATCAGGTGAAGCCATCTGAGGCTTTATGTTCAGAAATCTGGAATGGCCCGACCAAAGGGCTTCTAAATAGATTGGAGAAGACACAATTCAGGAGAATAAGCATTGCCCGTAGAAGAACCAGAGAAGGAATTGTATCAGTCTGCCTTTGGTTCAGCCGTGTTGTCAAGGCAAAAATGAAACTATGACTCACAATAATTTTTTTTGTTTATTACCACCTCCTTTCTCCTATTTATCTTTCTTTTGAAATCTCTTGGTAAATGTAATTATTACTGCATTAAGTAGTCATATTAAATGGAAACTGTGATGACATTATTTTCTAGAATGGTACTGAGCAGATGACTAAACATTCTAGTCTTGGCTTTGCCAGTAACTCTGTGTGTAACCTTGGCCATTCACTTACCGACCATCCTTTTCGGGGTCTCTGTTTCATTATCTGCAACAAGGGGCTTGGGTTTAGATACTCAAGTCTTTTTCAGTTGTCCCCCCCCCGCCCCGGCCCCGCACTTCGTTCTTTAGTTTGAAATTTCTTAACTTTCATTTTGAAAAATTTCAAATTTATAGAAAAGTTGCCATAATCCTACAATAAATCCCACTGGACTCTTTTTGTAGAGTCATTGTTAACATTTGAATGCTCAGATTATCCCTGGATTTGGCCACGGGGAGCCTGTTCAAGCTGACTGATGTCCTTCTGATATGTTCTCATCATTTTCTGAACATTTCCTAACTTTCTGACATAAAGATACTCTGGGTTTTTGTTGTACTTTCCTTGCCCCCGCCATGGGATTGGCCACTTTTCTAAGGAATGGTAGTGGGGGAATGGTATTAGAAACCAAGGTCTGGGTTACTGAGATTGCTTTGCTTCTTTGCTCTTTCAGCAGATGGGGGTGGGGGGGATGGTGTGTGTGCGTGCGTGCGTGCGTGCGTGTGTGTGCACGCGTTTTAGTTCCAGTCCAGCGCTACAGTGTTCTTCCTTCCCTTCTCCCTTTCTGTGTTTGTATCTTTCTTCTGCCTTGTTGAGAAGTCTGGCTCCTAGCAACTTCAATATGTTTAGTTACTTACTCAGTGTTACAACTATGCACAAAATTGTTTCACAGTTGCTACACCTGACCACCGAAATAACAAACTTACCAACTGGAAGATTTCTTTCTAGTTCTTTTTGTCTTTATATTGAAGGTATGTGGTCAAAGGACTCTGTTGAAAGTTACTTGGTTTAGTGTTTCCCTTCTATGAGGTTATGTTATTTATTTGAAATACATTAGTGCTTGTTTAGTCAATTATAGTTTTTCCTTCAATTCCTTGACATATTTTTCTAATATGTCAAACATGAACAAGTTCCAAAAGTTAAAACTATTAAAAAGGTATACTCACAGATGTTTTTCTTCTTCCTCTTCTCTTCCTTGTACTCCATTCCCATCCAGTCCTGTAGATCACCAGTTTCATTGGTTCCTAGTTACGCTGTCAGTGTTTCTTTTTATAAGAGTAACTATACACACACACAAACACACACACACACAAATACTTCTTATACAAATGGACGCCTAGTATGTGTATGCTCTTTTATTTTCCTTATTTCCTTTAAGAATATATTCTGGAAATACTCCATAGCATTTCATAGAGATCTTCCTCTTTCTTTTTCAGTTCATAGTGCTCCATTGTGTGGGTATGCCATAATTTATTCAACCAGTCTCCTCTTCTGTTTGGGCATTTACGTTGTTTTCCAATATTTTACAGTTGGAAGTAATACCTCTGTAAATGACTTTGTTCTTATGTACTTTTATTTGTTGCAAGTGTGTCTTCAGGGTCCTAGAAATGAGATTGCAGAGTCAAAGTATGATTGTATATGTGGTTTTGTTAGATATCGTCCAATTCCCCTCCACTGAGTTTGCACCATTTTGCGTTCCCACCAATGCTCTACCAACCTTCTAGCTTTAATATTGTGTGATTGTATGAAAATATCGTTCCTGATTTCTAGGAAATTGCATTCTAAGAAGTTAGACTGAAGGATGGAAGTGGAATGGAATTGGGGGTGGTTCAGTGGTAGAATACATATTTGTAAAAATGGACCTGTATCAATTTTAAACATCCTTGGTTTAATGAAAATTTCATGTATTTATACTTAGTCATCTTAAATCATTTTCTGAGAAATGGTGGCTATTTTTTCCTGGTATCTTGATAATTTGAGTAGTGCAGAACTGGTTCATGTCTGTTTTCTTTGTCTGTGCACTCAGGGCTTCCTGAATTCTACGGAGCTCTCTGAACTTCGAGCTGGGCCTGACAGAGAAGGCTCTCTCAAGGATCAGTTGGCCCTAGCAATTGGTGAGTATTTGTAAGGATTTTGAAAACTGGAAATTAAAGACTGGATCTCTTGGTGTTCCTCCAAATCTAGATCAAGAACTATAAGCTCTTATGCCTGTAAGAATCAGACAGTATAAAACTGAGAAGCAGGCTGTGTGTTAGATGCTAGGGAGCAGTGGATGCCCTGAAGAACTCATGCTGTGCTGAAGGAGTCAGCCAATATCAAGCCCTAGTTAATTGTTGTCTTGGGGGAAATGCGTCCTGGTGTTGTCAGAATTTCTAAATTCCTTCAAAAAATTTAGATTTGTATGCAGAAATCTCCCAGTTTTTAGCTGTTGCAACTAAAACTTATTTTCAACTCTGTGCAGGCCAGCACTGGGCTGGCCAAACAAAGTGTATCTTTAGCCAGAGGTGCAGAGATGGCCCTCTGACTTACACTTGGCTACCTTGCTATACTCTTCAGGAGAAATAGTATATTTAAGGTCATTCCACCTTCTTTGTAAAGGGAACCAGGAAAATTTAAGAGCACTTTTTTTAGGAATTTGACCTCTTTTTAAAAAAAAAATCTGGTCCTGAATTTGCGAAGGTCCATTCTTTTAGAGCCCACTGGCTGTAGGAGCCGTACCTGGATCATGATGGTAGGACTAGTGGGGATTTTCCTCTCTACCTACATGTCCTTAATGGACGGAGGAAAGTAGGCCTTGGGTTGGAACTTGCTGGGAATTTAATTGCTTATCTGAAGTTTCCAGGCAAGGCATTAATTCTGTTCTTATTAGGTCATGCAATATTTATGATGACTTGGTGAGGCAAGATGAGAAAGCAGGCAGACAGCGGTGTATGGAGGCTTATTAAGAAATTCTGGAAGAACTGGGTGCTTCGGTCTTGTCAGTTTCTGGGAATTAACTATCGAGTAGATCCTTTGAGTTGTTTTAAAACTCGTTTTGGTTTCTGAATACTCCTTTTTCACATGACTTTTAGGTATAACTATAGCTAATACAGAGCTCTGGTGACATAGTAGTTAAGAGCTACGGCTGCTAACCAAAAGGTCGGCAGTTTGAATCCAACAGCCACTCCTTGGAAACCCTATGGCAGTTCTGCTCTGTCCTGTGGGGTCTCTATGAGTTTGAATCGACTCAGCAGCAACGGGTTTGGTTTGATTTTATAGCTAATACAGGGGTATTTATCCAGGCCCCTTTGTTGATTTTACCTTTTGGTGTATTAGGACTTCTGTTAGAGGGAAACAGTATCCTGGGAGAATGAGGGAGGCTAGAGTCCATTTTTGGTTCTTATAACCAACTCTGAAAATGTTATCTTTTTATTTTTGATGAGAGGAGGTTGAACCTATCAGTTGACAGTGGAGTTTGGGATTTTCTGGGGCTTTCAGTTGTGACTTTTTCCTGATACAGTAGATGATCAGGGGCTGCCTTTGTCAGTTATGGTGATGTTAGTAATTTGGAGGGAAAAAGCACTTAGTTGCTTTGGAGTCAGATCTCAGTTTTAATTCCAGCTCTGCCATTCATTACCTATGTAACCTTGGGCAGATTACTAAAGCTCTCTGTAATTAATGTAGTAATAATGGACAGCAGTTTAATGCCCACTATGGGGCAGACACGCTAATAAGTGCTTTTACATATATTATCTTACTGATTTCTCCCAGTGACCTTGGAAGGTAGATGGTATCATCTCCATTTTACAGATGAGGTAGCTAAGTGTGTTATATTAGTAGAAAGGGTTCTGTCATTAAGTCACTTGGCAAAGGCCATACAACCAGTAAGACGCAGAACTGAGACGTGAGTGTAGGATTTGTCTAACACCACAGCCCATTTTTTAAAATACCAGAGTGTCTGGCACAGAGTTGGTGCTCAGTAAGGGTACTTTCCAGCCCCCCCACCCCTACACACACGTTTTTCTCATTAAACAAAAACTGAAAGTGATATCTCTCCATCTTAGAGCAAATCCAAACACAGAGGGATTGTTTGTCAAACCTGGCCGCCTCTGTGCATATTTTGGTGCCACCACAGGCATCACATTCTGGTGGTATATTGGTTTGTTTTTTTTTTTAAATAGGGAACCTGGGAGAAAATATGATTCTGAAACGAGCTGCATGGGTGAAGGTGCCATCCGGGTTCTACGTTGGCTCTTACGTCCATGGAGCAATGCACAGCCCCTCACTCCACAACCTGATGCTGGGGAAGTATGGGGCCCTGGTCATCTGTGAGACATCTGAGCAGAAAGCAAACCTCGAAGACCTTGGTCGCCGCCTTGGACAGCACGTGGTGGGCATGGCCCCTCTCTCTGTTGGCTCCCTGGACGATGAGCCTGGGGGAGAGACGGAAACCAAGATGCTCTCCCAGCCATACTTGCTGGATCCGTCTATCACGTTGGGACAGTATGTGCAGCCCCAGGGGGTGTCTGTAGTGGACTTTGTGCGGTTTGAATGTGGTGAAAGCGAAGAGGCAGCAGAGGCTGAATAGATTCCAGAGACTTTTTGGCCTAGGAGGAAATGTTTTTTCTTAGCTCTGGACATCATTGCAAAAAGAAGTTATTTCCTAAGCCTCTTAAAACCTGAAATTCGTTTTTTAGTTTATAATGAAATTATATACTTCATGGGTAGAGTTATTAAATAAAACTGTTTATATAATAAAGAGAGTAGAATTTTCCTTGTTTGGGTAACAGTGGTTTAGCTTTTGTGTGCCTTACCTGTGACAGATTTTAAAACAACAATACTTGGGCCTTGTTGAAGTGACTGACAGTGTCTGGGGAAACAGGCATCAACAATTGTGCTGCTGTTCCCTTTAACAGATTTATTATGGTTCCCAAAATTTCTAACTCACCATTCTAGCTGACTCCTTCTATGACATAGAACAATCTTGTTCTGCTTCCACTTTGTGACATGTTTAGACTGTACTTCTACCCTGGAATTTCCCCAGTTACACTGCTTCTGCCACATGGATTCCTTTGGAATTTGTTGATTCAAAGTTAGAGTTGTCTGGAAAATGTGGCTCATTTGTTGATGTCTGCAGTATGCTTTGAAGGCACTCTGCAGTGGTATACATACTGGTTCTGGCTTCATTACTGAAATTAACAACACATGATCCTATATCTCTTTTTGGATAATGAGGTCCGGATGGGTGGTACTGAGGTTTCCTGGATAGCTGTAAGGCAGATTTCAACATTCTTGTGCCAGAAAAGGAGTTACAGTGGCCCGGTTATCCAGTGGAGCCCTGGTGGTGCACTGGTTTAGAGCTTGGTGCTAACCAAAAGGTTGGCAGTTCGAATGCGCCAGCTACTCCTTGGAAATCCTATGGGGCAGTTCTACTGTATCCAATAGGGTCGCTATGAGTCAGAATTGATGGCGACAAATTAGTTATCCAGCGAGCTTGCTCAAAAGTGCCACTTCCCCAGTACTGAAACATTTCTCCCAACATAAAATAATTATCAGAACAGGCAAACCCCAAATACTGAAAAGAACTCCATTTGCTTGTACAGGTATCTTTAATTGAAAAGTTCAAAATGCTCTGGCACATACAGATCTGGGCATTTGGATTTTGACTTCAGGGTGTATTTGTGAATAACTTCAATGACTTGTTGGTTAAATAGGTTTTGGTTAAAACAAGCTTAGATCCTGGCACCAATATTAAATGTCTTATGCTTAATTTTTTTGTTATCTTTCTTTTGGCTTTTCCAGATTCATGCAATTGTAGTGCTTTCTACTGAGGCTTTTAGCCAGAAGGCCACAAAAGCCAAAAATTGGGCAGTTAACATTTTAGGTGTAAAACAACTAGGGAATGCATGGATGAGAAACAATGGAGAACATGCTGTGATTTGCAGACCCTATTTATCTAAATTAAGTAGCTGAATGGCAGGCAAGAATTGGTAGATAATTTTTTTCCTGATGTTGGTACTATCTGCTTTCTTCTGTGGTCTTGCAGTAGGTACATGCTTTCATGCCTTAGAAAAGCCCCTTTTCTTTCTTCAGCTGGAGCTGTTTCCAGCCAGGTAGAGCAGCAAATTGCCCTCTTGTGATGCCCAACACAGAAACAAAGTCCTGTTCAGAGAGGTAATTCTAAGAGAGAAAACAGTTTCTGGTTAGAGGGAAGACATGGCACATATTAGTGCTAACGGAGGGGGTGGGGTGTGGATGAGGGAGTGCTAGAGTGAGCCTTGAAGTGGGGAGCAGAATGCATTTTTCAGAAACTCTGTACTAGACTTCAATTATTCATTGGAGAAATCTCAGGTTGTGGAGTCGCATTTTGGCCTGTGGAAGAAACTGACTGGATTCAGTGTTCTCATGGTCCCAGCCGGCACTAGTTACTTGCCAGAAGGATAAAAGATGGGTTATATATTATGCGTGGATTATACGTTAGATTTTGATGGAATGGCTTTATGCCCTTAACTACCATTTTTGCCCAGAAATTTTCAAAAGCAGGATCAGGTGGGTCTTGTTGGGAGAATAAAACTCTCCTAACATTTTTTTAATACGAGTATTTTGTATTCAGGTAAATGTTATTAAGATATGGCCTCTGCTCTCAAGAAAGTTGTAGTCCAGATACTCAAGAGTTGGTTAGATAAGACATTGTAGAAAATCCAGAGGCCCTTCCCAAATCAAGTCACTCAAGGGGAAACTTAGTACCATGACTACATTTTTTCAATGAAAACTTAATGCCTACTATCTGCCAGGCACCGATTTAGGGGCTAAAAAGCTAAGAACATGAAGGTGAACAAGATAGACAAGATCCTTGCTCTTAAGCATTTTACTAGAGGGGAAGACTTACAATGAACAGTATAAAGGGACTGGAGGGGGGCAGTGTTAGACAAGTGATCAGGGAAGGCCTCCTTGGGGAGGTGATGTTGGAGCTGTACCTAAATGAGAGGGAGCTGGCTCTGTGATGACCAGAGAAGAATGTTTTTCAGGCGGCAGCAAACACAAGTGTAAAAGCTCAGGCTGGAAACAATGAGTGTGTTCAAGGCACAGAAAGGCAACCACTGGCTGAAGGGTAGTAAATGAAGAGGGTAAGGATACACGAGATGAAAAATCCGAGGGGTGGGTGGGGGCCAGACTGTAGGGCCTTGGAGGCCTTGGAAAGGACTATGGATTTTATTCTAAGTGGGAAGACATAAGAGGTGTTTTAAAAGATCTGTTTGGCTGTTAGGTGGAGAATGGATTCTAGGGACAGGGTAGAACCCAGCTGGGGGACTACTGCAGTCGTCCATGGTGGCTTGGACTAGGCTGGCAGCGGGGGGAGGGGGAGTGGACAGAAACTAACTGATGGATTGATGTGGGAGGTGAGAATCAAGAATGAGCCCTGAAAACTGGTGATAGGGAACCCAAGGTTGAGTAAGGACAGTGTTGATGTGTTGTGAGGTTGTTAACCATTGGCATAGGGCAACATGTGTACTAACTGTTTAATGGGAAACTATTTTGTTCTGTAAACCTTCATCTACAGTGAGAATAGCAGCACAATTGGAAGAGCGTAGTCGATGTCACTGAACTGTGCGTGTAGAAATTTTTGAAATGGTGTATCTTTGGCTATGTTTTCACCAAAAAAAAAAAAAAGGTGGAGAAGGGAGAGGATTGACGCGTCGTGGGGTTGTTAACTAATGTCATAAAACAATATGTGTACTACTGTTTAATGAGAAACTATTTGTTCTGTAAGCCTTCACCTGAAGTACAATTAAAAAAGAGAAAAATGAGCCCTGGATTTTTGACTTCAGCTACTGGGTAGCTCAAATGTTTGTTGAGTGCCTTCAATGTGTCAGAACTATGCTAGGCCATTTACTGAGATGGGTGCTTTACTCTCGGAGAGCTCCACTTGCATCAGACACAGTTCCTTCAGTCACTCACCTCCTTTTTGGCAGGGTTCACATCCTCAGGCAGCTCCAGATTCTTACTTTTCAATAGAACTTCTATAGGGTAATATTTTGGCTTGCTGTCATCAGGATTCAGGGAAAGGGTCACGTTCTTCATGTCCTAGGCAAGGTGAGACAAGAATGTAGACACAGCAAGAAGACTGTTCTGTATTTGTGTAATCACAGTTCTGTGTGTGTAAAACATTTAACATTTGGCTTATACCACTTCACCCTGTGTAGTCATCTTTCAGAACAATGGACTCCAAACCTGGTTGCATGTTGGAGTCATCTGAGAATCTAAAAAATTCAGATTTTGGGGGTCCTTCTTGGGAATACTGATTCAGTAAGTCTACGGTAGGTCCTGGGAATTTTTTTTAAACAGCTTCTTGGGCGGTATAGATATGTAGCCAGTTTGGCATAAGTGCTGTGTTTAAATCTCATTTAAATATTGGGATCACATATCTTTCCTTGACGCTTAGGCCCTACATTTCCAGCCTTTCAATAACTCCAGTCATACGTCTCTTAAGTATATTTTAAAGACACTAATCACCATTAGCTTTGGAATCTGAGTGTGTAGAGCACAAAGGATAAATTCGCCAGATGGTTTAAACACCTGGTGTCACGCACAGACCCTGATGTTCGAGAGCTGCAGGGTTTCTGGCAGAGACTCTGCTTCCCCTAGCCATTAAAATACAGGGAGATGACCTAAGTTTCCGTGCACTTCACTGTCAGACACTGATACAAATGTCACTTGGGTTAGAAGCTTATTATTTCTGAAAGATAGTGCCAGTAAATTTAATTTTTCCTGAATGGCAGAGAGAGTTGAATAATAAAATTAGTTTTTGGTTTTTTTGTTGAACAGCAAGTCTGTTCTAAATTCCGGAAGGTAGCAAAATACAGAATTTGGCTCTGAGACCTGTTTTTCTATTGATTAAAAAAAAATCTTTAGACCAAAATAGACAACTAAAGGAATACTAAGAGGGGCATGACAGGGCTTCGCCCATGTGGCATCTGTGGTATTGCTGTCTGTCATTGCCTGTGTGACTTGCTTCTCTAAGAGCAAATCCAACTATCTTAGTTATCTAATGCTGCTATAACAAAAATACCACAAGTGGGTGACTTTAACAAACAGAAATGTATTTTCTCATGGTTTAGGAGGCTAGAGGTCTAAATGCAGGGTGCCAGGCTCTAGGGGAAGGCTTTCTCTCTGTGGTGGTTCTGGAGGAAGGGCCTTGTCTTTTTAAGCATCTGCTCATGGGCAGTCTTCACAGGGCTTGGCATCTCTCTTCCTCCACTTCTGCACTGCTTGCTTGTTTAATCTCTTTTATATCTCAAAAGAGAGTGACTCAAGATACACCCTACACTAATCCTGCCTCATTCACATAGCAAAGACAACCCATTCCCAAATGGGATTATAACCACAGGCATAGAGGTTAGGATTTACAACACATATTTTGGGGGGAACATAATTCAATCTATAACACCAACTCACAGCAGTGATTCTTACGATAGCAGCAGCATCTCCCAGCTCTTTCTTTAACTGTTCATATGATTTTCCTGCCTGAGAAGATATAGAAAACACAGAATGAGGTGCCCTCAGGAGAAGCAAAAAAAAAAAAGCGAGGGAATCAGAAGACAAGTCAGTGATAAGCAAAGATGAAAACTCTCCACTTCTGGGTCCATGCAGGATTGGAAGGTGCTGAAACATGATCTGCATTCTTTAAGGGGCCCCCCTCACTTCTCCATGCAAGACTTGAGAAAGCAGTTGACTAAGAGTCAAAAATCCTGTGTCTATGGGCTAACTGTGACTTTAGACAAATAACTTACCTGCTTCGCTTTCTTGTCCATAAAATGGGAAACACAATACTTGCCCTGGCTATCTTACAGGATGGTTGTAAAGATCAAAAGATGATGTGTTTGTATGCGCTTTATGAACTGTTACTCTCACACACTGCTTATTCTTGAGACTAGCTGTGAATTCTCCAACTGGACGTAACTACTGTGGTGGGTGGGAATGAGAAGAAAGTAACACGGAGGGTGGAGTGAGCGTGGAGGAAATGGGGTCCTGGTTTCACTCAGCCCTTGAATCAGACCCTGCCTTCCCACTGAGCTATTAGTTTTGAGTTCCCCGGCGGTAAGAACGTCTTCTCCGTTCTCTTCGTTCTTACACTCCAAATGTGAGGGTCCCAGGCCAGGAACCAGCCTGTGAAGGTGAGAGGCTCAAACCCCTGTTTAATGATCAGGATTGGTGTGTCGATGTCTCGACCGCTGGGGTGGGTGTGCAGGTACTCCTGGGCTGTACTGAGGGCTCTCTCCTTCTCTGTGGCATTTGCCTCGGCCCCAATCCACAAGAACACCTATTGTGGTAGAGATTTAATATGTTTTAATGTGCTTGTACCAAGGATTTAAGTACTAGATCATACACGATACCCTATTTTTCCCCTTCAGCAACTAATAGTCTTAGAAAACTCTCCCAGCCCAATTTGCTCAGCAGAGAGATTTTCCCAGAATCAGCTTCATATTTGTGATTTTAATTGCCATCCATATGTATCTCCCAAATCTGTGTCTCCAATCCTGAATTCTCTTCTGAACTTCAGCTTCCTGAATCCAGGTGCAAAACACTTCCTCTTAGCTATCTCCAAGCACCTCAAATGTAACAACCCAAATATAACACTCTTCGTTTCTAAACTTATGTCTGAACCTCCTCTCTTGGTGAGTGGCATCCTTCTGGTCAGCTAAGGCAGAAACCTAGGTCATCCGAGATGCCCCCCACATCTAGTCAGTCACTGAGGCCAGCCAACCATCCCTTCTATTCATCTGTCAACTCTGTCACCAACCCTCTGTCCCTACTCCACTGCCCTGATGCGGGCCCTCAGCAGCTCTTGCTGAACTATTGTAATAGTCTACTGACTGGCCTCCCAGAATACAGTTTTCTTTTTTTCTCCCCTCCACCCCTCCTTCTCCACAGTTACTGGAGTGATCTACCTGAAGCACAGTCTGACCCTGTTGCTCCCCTGCTTTAATTTTAGTGAATTGTCAGGATAAATTTCAAAAGTCCTGACATGGCTGGTAAGGCTCATACCTACTTCTTCACCTCTGGGATGCTCCATAACTCTATTTGATGTTCTGATAATATGTCTTACAGTGTCCTGTATACTATTTCATGCCTTGCTTTTACTTGTGCTGTTTCCTCTGCCTGGAATGTCTTCTCCACCCTTCTTTGCCTTTTGAATGCCTACTCATCCTTTGAGGTTCAGCTTAGGAGCTGTCTCCTCTGAGAAGTCTTCCCTCAGTCTCTAAGCTATGTTACCAAAAGCCAAACCAAACCTGTTGCCGTCGAGTCGATCCTGGCTCAGTGACCCTACAGGGCAGCGTAGAACTGTCCCATAGAGTTTCCAAGGAGCAGCTAGTGGATTTGAACTGCCAACATTTTGGTTAGCAGCCATAGCTCTTAACCACTGTGCCACCAGGTCTCCGAAGCTATGTTGAGTGCCCCTAATTTGTGTTCCCATCCCATGGCACCTCGTACTTACCTCCATCATAGTAAAATGATGTTTCTATGTCTGGCTTCCCTCATTAGCCTGTTAACCCTCAGGGCAGGGGCGCTTCACCTTGGTGGCACCACACCTAGCACAGGCCTAGCTCAGAGGAAGTGCACAGAGTTTGCTGAGCCAAACTGGAGAAAATGTGGTGTGGAGAAGAGGTTGCCTTGAAAATATACCTTTTACACCCCACTATTCCATAAAAGGTCTGTGCCTCTGGACTTGGAATCTGCTGCTGTTGATCCTAAGAGAACAGAGTGTGTGATGATAGGATGGCCTGGTTTTCCTAAAGCAAGGTGAGGGTTTTAAACAACACTCTATTCTCTCCAACCCTGGAAAAAGGCACGCTCTTCCTTTGGTCACCACTGACAGCTGTGTGACTGTGAATGGTCCAGTGCCACCCTGGTGTTTTTTCTAGGGTGGAGATACTATACAAAAATAACCTAAACTATGTCATTTGTTCCGAGTTCTCTGGATGTGTCTTACCTGGTCCCAGGTATCCAGGAGCATCACATCACCGGGGTTGAGGTCGTCCTGGGTGAAGTCTGTGATCTCAGTGACAAGGAACCGGCCCGTCTTATTGGAACATTCGAAGAGACGGGGCTGGACATCTAAGATTTCATTCTGTAGTCTGCAATACAGTTCATTTAGGGGAACTGAGCTTCTTAGAAATTGTTTTTAAAACCGAAAGGGGCCTTGGAATTTGTGCAGTTCACAAGCCTGGGAGGCAGGGGGAGCCAAGAGGCAGGGGATGATGTGTTCCCATACCTTTTGTCATTGGCATAAGGAGCTTTCCCTCCCAGTATGTCCCAGAACTCGGCAGGCTCCTGGCCCTCCGCCACAGTGTCCTCGGTGCCGTCACAGAGAAGCTCAGCCAGCTCCTTAGCCATTGCCCGCTCATCCCCGCTAGACCCCTGAGAGTGGGTGTGGAGAGCACAGACGGTTAGTCTCACATGGGCATGTTGATGTGGAACAAGAAGCTTCTAAAACGAATAGCTCTGTGGCTACCAAACCGCAGGACCGCAGACAGGGAGCTAGGTTTGTTCTTCCAGTGCTCTGAACGGGGAAGGAAAAGTGGGGTGGCAAGGAACCGGACTAGACTCGAAAACCCACAGTGGATGTTCACGAGCCACTTTTGTTTCAGCTTCAATTGGAATTTTAGTGCTAACTTTTGATTCTCTTCTTTTTTCTTTATAGAGAAAAAAATGTTTATTTTTCTAAATTACATATAGTAAAAGTCACTCTTTTAGTGTACCGTTCTATGAGTTTTGAAAAATGCATAGAATCATCTTCCCAACACCACAATCAAGATACAGAACAGGTTCCTCACTGCCCACCCCAAGTTCCCTTGTGCTACCCCGTTAAAGTCAAACTTCTTCCTCTCCCTTCCTGTTAACCTTTGGCAACCACTAATCTGTTCTCTAGCACTATAGTTTTGCCGTTTCCAGAATGTCATATAAATGGAATTACACGATATGTAGCCTTTGAGTCAAGCTTCTTTCACTTAGCAATGCATTTGAGATTCATCCATGTTGGTGTGTATATCAGCAGTTCTTCCTTTCTTATCACTGAGTAGGATCCCGTTGTGCAGATGTACCACTGTTTATTTATCCATTCTCTAATTGGGTTGTTTCCAATTTTTGGCAATTATGAATAAAGCTGCTATAAACATTTGTATACAGGTTTTTGTGTGAGAACAGGTTTCTATTTCATTTGGGTAAATACCCAGGAGTGGGATTGCTGGATCATATGGTAAGTGTATGTTTAACTTTTTAAGAAACTGTCAAACTGTTTTCCAAAGGCTGTGTATTGTTTTGCATTCCTACCAGCAACGTGTGAGAGTTCCTGTCTCCGTATCCTCGTTAGCACTTGATATTAATTTTCTTTTAGCCATGCGAGTAGGTGTGCAGTGGCATCTCATTGTGGTCTTAATTTGCGTTTCCCTAATGACTAATGTCCTTGAAAATCTTTTTATGTTCAACTCTCTATTGTAAAACAATTTTAGTGGTTTTTTAATGCATATGCTGATACAAATCTGAATTGACAAAAGCACATTTCTAGTGTTTTTGTTGTTTTAATGTCCTGCTACAATCCACCAAACTGGTGTGGAAAGATTGACTTATCCAGCCCCCATCCCCTTAGAAGTTTGTGGGGTGTCTCTTGCCGTTAGTGAGTTTCTCATCGGAAGCTTAACTGTGGGGAGTGTTGGTGACCCCTCTGGAGATCCTTTAGGGAAAAGCCTCCTCTTGTGAGGACAGCTCCAGCCTACTCTTTGGTCCCTTTGACCTTGCTGACTTGAGGCTGGGTGCAGGGCTGGGCTTCCAGAGGCTGATGTGACCACTGAGTCCAGCCTTCCTACCTTGCCATACCACAGGTAGTTCTCTGTCTGGGTGTGCAGCAGAAAGACATCATTGGAGTTTAGGGAGGAGGCGAAGGCTGGAGCCTCCACTGCTTTGGTGTTAAATTTGTCATTTCCTTGAATCTGGAAGAGCCTTACCGGAGGGTCAGGCTCCTTATTTCCCTTCCTGGAAGTCCCACCCTAGAGAGAAAAAGAAAAGCAGTGTCTGGATCTAAGCAGCACCGTGTGAGAAGAGCGCTGGCTAGCCTTTTGTGGAGAATGTGATATCATTTGACGCCTTCTTTGCCCTTGAGGAGCTTCTAGGCTAATGGAGAGACCAGGGCAAGCTGAGTTATGGTACCAGTATTATTTTTCCTTCTGAGCACTTTATTATATGCCAGGCTCTGTGATTGGTGATTTACCAACGTCAATTCATTGCTCCTCATAATAAACCTGTGAAGTAGGTATTATTATCCCACAGCACAGATAAGGAAACTGAGGCTCAGAAACCTGGCTTATAAATGACAGGGCTAGGATTTGACCTCAGGGTTGTGTGATGTCAAGCACGTGACTTCATCAACTGCTTTCTAGTGCTTCAGCCAGGAGTTCATGGAAGAAGTGGGACTTGAATTGGGTAGAACTGGAGAGCAGAGGGCACATTCTGGCAGGGAGGAGAGGAGGTAAGTATGGCACATGTAGGTTAATGAGGAGACTCTCCTGGCTGGAGTGTTAGGAAGTTAAGAGAAATACACTAGCACAGGTCATATGGGCGGATTATGAAAGATCTTGAACATTAGGCAGTGGTTTAGACCTGAAGCTCTAGGCAATTGGGATTCACTTATGTGTGTTAGATTAATCCTCTTCTCTCTCTATGTCTACCCAACCCCTGCTTCTCACTGCTTCTCTCCTCTGCTGTAGCCCCCCTGCTGGCCCATTATTTCTGAGCATTCCTGCTCATGGTGTAATTTTATCTGGAGGTCCTCACCTCAAAAATAACCAGCTTCCCTTTGAAGATGGCCATGAAGTGGCGTGGCTCCTTTCCCATGGTGACCCGAACCTGCACAGGGGCCCCGTCAAAGTGCCGATCCATCTCCACCGCCTGGTATGCTGAGGCTGCCAGCTCATCCTGGGAGGCATGGCGGCCCTGCAGAGTGAGAGAGGAGTGATAAGCCCCTCTACCTCCACCCTAGCCCTGCAGCTGAAGGAGCATCAGGATCCAAAACCGAGAGCCTGCCTTAGGCCTACCTGCCAGATGTATAAGATGTAATGTGGCTTCCCATTCACCTTGTATGTGTAGAGAATCAGATAGCAGTCTCCCCCATAAAAGAAGCCATACCACTGATGCTCCACGGGGACCAACTCCAGGTTTTCGATTCTCCAGACCTGGGTGTAGAAGGAGACACAGTTCCCCAGAAATGAGGGTCTTGTTAGAAGAGACAGCTACCGGAAGGGACTGGCCCATGTTAACAGAGAATCCAGGTGGTGAGGCGCTAACATCCACCTAATGAATACTTCCCCTTCTGGTTCTTCTTTCCCAGGAGTGAGGGCTCAACACATTTGCATGATTTGAATCCCAAGAAGAAGTGGATTGTCCCTGCAGCTTGGTCAGGTACATCCCCATCTTGGCTCTGTCTCTGCCAGATGAGAGACGATTTGAATATAGCTACCAGGTGAGTTATCGACAGCACGTTTGGCTATCTGCTTTTCACCTTACTGAAGAATTGTGGGAGGACTGCAGACTTGGAAGCCCCTTGGAAAATATGACCAGGCGCCAGAGGTGAAAAGGAAAGCAAAGCAGACACATCACCTGCCGCCTCCTCTACAGCAAGAACCATAGAGTGTGCCAGGGCTGCCTGCCCTGAGATTTGAGTCATTGGCTTACCTCAGCTTTCCCATTGCCATCATCAACCATTCTTTCCTGGGCAGCCACCTCTGGCGTGTTGTGCAGTACAGTTACATCAAACTTATCCTGGGCAACTTTAGCTGCAGGAAAGGGGTTGGGAAAAGCCAAGTGAGTGAGAAACATCAATGCCTGCCTTTCTAGAGATTCCTGGCAGTGAGAGAATGATCTGGGGGGCGATCTCACCGATTTTCCCAATGCTGAATGTTTTCCCTAGGCCTGCGGTCTGGTCCTTCACTGACCACTTCTGAAACAGCTGCTTGAACATGGCTGACTCGGCACCATCGTTGACGGTCTCTATGTTGGTGCTGCTGGGGTAGCCCTTCATCTTGATGAAGCTCTGAAGACCCCCCCACCCCAGAGAGGTGGGTCAGTTGGGGAACGCACTGGGTTCTTTGCTTGTTTGGGCATTTTCCCATTTGAAGCCAGTAGGTAGGTTTGTTCCCCTCTGGGACTCAGAGTCAAGTTCTGAATCACTGCTGCCTAGGGACCAAGCGATCCGCCTCAAGGGAAGGACTGAGTGGAGTGTTTTGGTGTCTCTTCATTAGCATGTAATGATTATGGTTATTATTAATTTTTTTGCAAGGTCCTCTGTGCTGTGTTCTCTCAGCACTTACTCCACTGACTTTGCATCACATTAATTTGCTCATTGTGTTGTAAGCACATCTTGTTTGGTTTGCCTGCATAGGTCTGCACTGTATCATAAACTCCTTGAGGACAGGGCCATTAACCTTGTTATATGATATCCCCTTCAATAATACCCACTACCTGTTTTTCAGCAGGTATTGTGTGCCAAGTACTGTCCTAAGTAAACTCAATTTCACAACAACCTCAGGAGACCAATATTATTACCACCATGTTAGAGGTGAGGAAATGGAGACTCAGGCGTTAACTAGTCTTCCTGAGATGGCTCATCTGGAAAAGGCAAAATCCAGATTTGAATCCGAGTTTGTCTGTCTGACTTTGAAGTCCATGTGTATAACCACGAAGCTATATGTTCAAGCACCTAGTATGGCTCTCCAAACACATATCAAGTGTTACCAACAGAATTATTTGGACTATTTTGCACATCTGTAGTTCCTACCAGGGCTTTAGACATGGCCATCTGTTTCTCAGCCTTTGTGGCTCCTTTTCCTTTCCACACGAAGATCTTAGTTCCACTTTGGTCCAGGATGTAGCAGTCCTGAAGCAGTCAGGGATAAATGTGGTTACTGCTGCTCAAGATCATAAAGAAGGCTTTTCCCAGGGTCTGCCTCTGAAGCCAGGCTTGGCTACCCCAGGGTGAGCCCACCCAAGCTCTACTTACATCATGTTTCAGTAAGTCTTGGACCAGAGGCCTCGTGGCAACCTCTGTGACCACCAGCTGCCCAGTTGAGTCTGAGACACTAGAGAAGGGAAGAGGTTAGCCTGTGCTGCAAAGCCTCTTGTAGCCAATTTGATGTTTTTCCTGTTTCCGCGCCTTGTTTTAGCGTGGAGTTTCTGGGTAGAGTTTGACTTCTTACAACAGGAATGGCTTGAATTGCAGATGGGAATGTGATGGACTCTGGAAGAGACTTTTGTGCATTTCTCTCCTACAAACATTGTTCTTTCTATATCCCTGAGTGTGTGTAGACCAGAGTAAAGGAAGGGTCTCCCCAAGAGGTCAAGAAGAGTTGCTAACAAGAATCGGAAGTAGCTGCCTCCTTGAGTGCGGGAACACCAAGGTCCTTTTAGGAGCTGCATTTAAAAAGGACTGAGAAGAAAGCCAGATGGCTGTACTCAAAATAAGGAGCCAAGCAGAGGTGTCTGGTTTTCTAGGGGACACCTTCCTCCCACTCCAGCTTCCATCCAGCACCCAGGTTTATCTACTTACTGGTACAACATGATGTTTGATTTCTGCTGCTGATCTATGATCTCATCAGGGATTGCAGGCTTGATAATGGAGCGTCGGCCAAGGGTGTCCTGAAGGACCTTCAGCAGCTCTGGGCTGACCTTCTCCTTGTCTCCCTCGATCACTCCTATTTCAGCACGGCCCCCTCGCTCCCTGTCCCGAATATCCTTTGCCAGAAGCATAGCCTGCCAAAAGAGCCCAAAGAACCACTCAGCTCATCTAGGCCCCTTTTTTGTCTGATGGCTTCAGAAGGAACAGCCTGGACCCCAGACACAGGAGTTATTCTGATGCTGAGAGTTAGTGGTTAGTCACAGGCTTATGGACTTGGCCTGTCTCCAAGGCAGGGTCCCATGTTAATCTTGGGGAAGAGCCAGCACAGAAGGAGGAAGGAAAAGGCACCTGAGAGAGTGCTCAGACTAGAAATAGCCATACCTTCAGACGCTCCCCACTATTGCTCTCTGGGCCATTCCATTGGATGATGACCTTCCCAAGGTCCATCAAGAAGACATCACCTCGGTTAAAACTGTCCCAGCTCATTTCTACCTGCAAATGAGAGCTAGGCATTGTTCGGGAGGAATTCGAGAGTGTCAAGTGGGGAGGCCCTGGGTCAGGACAGACAGTGGGCAGGACTTACCTCAGTGGCCCTGATGTTTCTCTTCCCCTTCACATGTAGCAGCCGCTTCACATTGTAGGTGTTGGTCTCCGCGTGCTTCATCCCGGTGGCCACACCCCCCTTCTTGTAGCTGAGGAAACATCCATTCAGTTATTTATTGAACGCCTGCTGTGTGCTAAGTACTGGGGAGACAGTTGTGAATCACACAGATGCAGCCTCTTCTTGTGTGGGAGGTGGACAGTAAATAAGCGAGGTGTAACTGCTGTCACAGAAGTAGACTTAGTGACTGTTTGATAGGGCGTTCAGGAAGTCTCTGAAGAAGTGACATTTAAGCTGAGATCTTAAGATGAGAAGGAAGAGTGCTCTGGGCCAAGGGAGCCTCAGTTACAAAGCCCCTGTGTCATGAGTGCTTGTTTTGTTCTAGGAACTGTCAGAATATCAGTGTGCGAGTGGGAGAGGGGCCTGGCCTGAGGGGGCAGCAGCAGCATTAATGATACCATGGCTCCAAGGCCGGTGTCTGTTTAACCAGCCCCTGATCTCCTGTCTCTGGCACTCACCCCAAGCCAACTTCCATATCAGGCGTCCTATTCTTTTAAGGGAATACAGCAAGGAACGTTGGAGCATAGGAGCTTTGACTTGGGTTCCTTTGTGATTCCCTGCGGTGCTCTGTGGCCAGCAGGTCCTCAGTTAGAGGTGATTGCGGACTCTGAGAAGAATTCTCAAGTGCATTGGAATTCCTTTGTCTCCTCCCTCCCTCCCTTTTTCTTTTTAACCTCAAGTGCAAAGATTTGAGTTGACTAAAGCCCTCAGTTCATGGCACATTATCCTCATTGCTCTTTACAAGAGCCCTCTCTTCTTCTAAGTATTTATGTATTCCCTATTGTCTGCACACCTCACTCCCAGCCTCTCCCCACTCTAGGCAACCATCCTAATATGCTTAATGTCTCTCTTTTTATTTTCATTCTGGTAAAATGTGTCCTGTTGTTTTGTATGCATTACTTTTTTTTAAAACAAATTGATCTTCTGTTATACGTCTGTCTGTTTCTTCCTTTGCTCACTAAGCACCACGTTTTTGAGTTCTACCCGTGTGTTATGTGGAGAGCTAACCCGTTGCTTCTAGCTGCTTCATAGTACTCTGTGATGTGCATGGAGTATTCTCCCATCCAGTCTCCCAGTGATGGACACCTGTGTTGCCCGCAGCTTCCTGCCACCCCTATGAACAATCTGGTTCAGGTTCCCTTATCGACCTGGGTGAGCATTTCTTTGAGATGTATCCCCAGAGGTGGGATTTGCCTAAGTGGCACCAGACTGCTCTCCACAGTGCTGTGCTAGCCCACACTCCCACCAGCAGGGCACGAGGACTCTTGTTTCCCTACAGCCTCGCCAACACTTGGCACCACCCAGCTCTCTATTTTGTGCTACTCTAATAGGCAGAAGCAAGGATGACGAGACTTCGTCTCACATACTTTGGACATGTTATCAGGAGGGACCAGTCCCTGGAAAAGGACATCATACTTGGTAAAGTGGAGGGTCAGCGAAAAAGAGGAAGAGATGGATTGACACAGCGGCTGCAACAACGGGCTCAAGCATAGCAACGACTGTGAGGATGGCGCAGGACTGGGCAGCGCTTCGTTCTGTTGTGCGTAGGGTTGCTTTGAGTTGGGACCTACTCAACGGCACCTAACAACAACAATAATAGGTTGAAGCGATAGCTTTGTTTTGATTTGTATTTCTCCTACTTTCTTTCTGTGCTATCGGCTCTTTGGGTTTCCTCTTCTGTAAATTGTTATTTATGGCCTTGCTCTGTGCACAACTACTCACATGATGCCCTGCTTGAAGTAGCCACGGAAGGTGTCGGATTCATGGCCCTGGACCTCTCGGTGCTGCACGGGGCTACCTCCCAGGTAGTCATCCAGCTGGGTGGTGTAGATGGCTGCGCAGCTCTGCTCGTCCTGAGAGGAGTCCTTCCCAATCCAGTAGTGGATATCCTGGGAGAGGAGACCTCCCACTCTCCGGGTCTGGGATGTAGCCAATGAGATCAGGTCAGAAGGCAAAGGTGGCTTGCCTCCCCTTTGCTGCTGACTTGGGAAGGTGGCAGCATACATAGAGTGCCTTGTGTCCTGTCCTGGGCAGGCTCAGGACCTCTCTCCCTCTCTGCAGCTGCCCTGGGCCCTGTGCAGACCTGCTATGTAGCTCAAGCTCTGGCAGCCCAAATTCTTCCCCACATTTGAGGACGGTGGACAGCTGGTTGTTCCAGAAATAAGTGGGGATCAGCGGGAATCTCGTCAGAGTTGGATGGCAAGACTCACAGCTCCCTTTGCTCCCCTGAGCCACAGGCCCTTCACTTACGTACACCTGTGTGGCTGTCAGGCGGGAGATTGTTTCCTGAACTAGAAGGAGCACTTTGAGGCCAGCGATGGGCCTTGCGTTGATCTGGCCTTCCTCTGCTCCACTTTAGTCTGGGACCTGTGCCCCAGGAGGGAGAATTGCTGCTCATGGGCTTCATGCTGAGGTTCAGGCTGAGGGCCCGTGTCCCTGCCCTCTGAGGCATCCTGAAAAACCCAGGCTTGAGGATGGCCTTTGACAGCCAAACTGGAGGCCTGCTCAGCCCAACACCAAGGAAGAACTGGACAGCTAGCAGGGCATGATTACCTTCCCTCACCAGCACACATATCCCTGGAGCTGAAGCACTGGTCTCAGGGGTGAAGCTGGCAGGGATGTGGGGGGATGGTACTCACCGAGAGGACGATGTAGCAGTCCCCTTCATAGAAGTTGCCATGGGCACTCAGGGGCACCAGTGCCAGCTCCATTTTCTGGAAGGACAAGGTGTGTATAGGCTGTATCTCCTCCCTCCCCCACAAGCCTCCTCTCCCCCACCATCGTTTGGCATAAGCCGTGGGGAGAGCTTGATGAGACCTTACAGGGTGTGGTGGTCAGTCACAGGATTCATGTGGCCACGCCTCTGGCTTCTGCTGAGCTCTGCCTGTATCACCCTGGGTCCGAACTGGGGTTCCTGTCCTGGTTTCCCCTCACCTCATCCTCCTCCCTGCTTCCTGCTTGGTCTCATCTTGCTATATTGCAGACAGCCTTGTGAGCCGTCTTCAGTCCTTTGCAGGGAAAGAGTTGGATATAAACTATCAAGTAAAAGCACTGACTCCAAGCAGCTTCTGCAAGCCTCCAACACTCTTCCCCAGCTCTCATCACTGACCACCCCAGAGTGGCCAAGACATGAAAGAAAGCTGGGAATGTGCGGGGCTGTGGGAGGTGAGTGCCAGCGTGTGCTGTGCTCTGTGCTGACGTCCCATATTTGGAGTCATTTGGGTGGGGGCCCTGATTTGTCAGCTGTATGTATGGCTTGTCCTGGGAGGGCCTCTCAGATGGCCTCAGATTTAGATTCTCACCGCCATTTTCAAGTGCGGGAACTGGCAGCCGTACTAGTGTGTTGTTCATAAAATGTGTGTGTTAAATGTAGAAATGTTTAGTTTACCACACTTTTTGTAAGTTACAGTACCTGCTAGCTTTTTCATAAACTAGGAGCCTTAGGAAATGGGAGTGACCTGAGCTACAGAGCTGTGACTCCTTCCTGACTGAGGACAGTGAAGTGAGGGGTCACCTCTGGGTTTTGTGCAACAGCAACTGATGGGGCTCCGAGGGGGGCCCCCATCTGGCAGGTGGAGCTGCCCCAATCAGGGTGGTCCTCAGCTACAGATTGCTGGAGCTCAGAGTCACCCCGAGGGGCACAGGCCCAGATAGGAGAAGAGATGAGCAGTGCCCCATCGGAGCAGTCCCTCCTCCCTTCTCCCCCAACCCCCCACACACTTTGCAGGAGCCAGGTGCCTGTAGAGGACATGTTCCATTTCTCTGACAGAGGCAGCTGGGAGCCTGCTGGGTGGACCCCACCCATCTCTCCCAGGCATTTACTGCAAGTGCAGACTCACTGAGCAGATGGCTGGATAAAGGGCGAGCTTATTTTTGCTTGGAGCAATGCTCTGCAGGGTTAGGAGCATTTCCTCCACCTGCTTCACGCACCCAGGAGGGGCCGGGGATGGGAAACCATGCACTTTGATGCTGCCTCTCACTGTTCCCAAACCAGACTGAGGAGTCCTCAGGGCAGTCATCTGCAGACCTGGGCACCAGACTCCACCCCAGACTGCATGGTGAGGAGTCGAGCTGACCTCCCAACTTACCTCTATTCTCCAGGTGATGATCCCAGGGTCGTTGCCCACAGCCCTGAAGGTGCTGCTCAGAGACATGGTGCTCCTCTTTCCAGGACTGAAACGTCACAGAGCGAGAGGGGAGATGATGCCTCTCACGGCCTGCATTGATCCAGCTTTCTCCTAAGTCACTTCCCAATCTCGCGTTAGCGACCATGCTGTGTCCTTGTGGTGCATCCCACGCCATTTCACAAATGTTAGGGAAATGACTTGTCCAAGTTCACTTGTGAGCCTGGCGGGCACGGGGATCCTACCCAGAAGTTCTGCTTCCCACCTGCCACTTCCCTCATTAAGAGCTCTAGTAATAGCAGCAATTATTTCCGGAGCGGTTGTAAACGTGTGAAGCCCTGTGCTGATATACTTTGCATAGTTTACCTCATTTCATTCTCTTAAGGTGAGTGTATTTTCTTCATTTTGCACTGTAGCAAAGTTCAGAGAGGTTAAATAGAGGTTCAGAGAGGTTAAATAACTTGCCCTAGGTCACACACTAGAATGAAATTCAAATCTGACCCTGAAACCTGTGTTTGTAGCCACTCCAATATACTGCCGTCCTTCCTGAACTTTGCTAACTTCAGTGGCAAATGCATTGGGGGGGCTTACATGGGGAGGGGGGAACTCTTCCAAACTGGGTTGCCTTCTCTCATCCTCATTGCCTCTACCCCGCCCCAGATTTCCTGCTTGCCAGATACTCTCCACAGTCAACTTTTTGCCCTTCTCTTTGGGCTTTCACTTTACACTTTTTTTTTTAAGTAAACTATCTTAAAATTCAAATGCTTCCTGCTCTTGTCATATGACTAATATATTCCCTGTGCCTTGCAGAAAGGAAAGGAAAATGGCAGGGTTGGGTGGGGACAGAGGGTCCACGGTGCCAGCAAGGGAAAGCGAGTGGGCAGATGCCCTCCTTACTCCCTCCACATGCAGATGTGGCTCTGGCTGTGTCCTGCCCACTGAAGCAGATTCTCTGGGCAAGAGTCAACTCAGAGAACTCAGAGGTCTCCAGTTCTTTCCGGACTGAGTGGGCAGGTTGGGGAGAAGAAGGGAGGAGTTGGTTAAAGAGCCCGTCCGTCTGAGACTGGAGGGACCCTGGAAGACAAGGCCCCTGGACTGTTAGCCCAAAACTAAAATCATTCCCGAGGCCAACTCTTCCGACAAAGATTAGACTGGACTATGGGACATAAAATGATACTCGTGAAGAGTGTGCTTCTTAGCTCAAGTAGCTATGAGACTAAACGGGCAGCTCCTGTGTGGAGGTGAGATGAGAAGGCAGACAGGGTCAGGAGCTGGTCGAACGGACATGGGAAATTCGGGGTGGAAAGGAGGAGTGTGCTGTCACAGTATAGGGAGAGCAATGACGGTCACATAACAATGTGCGTATAAATTTTTGTATGAGAGACTAACTTCCACTTAAAGCACAATAAAAAATAAATAAATACAAGCCCGTCCGTGTGGACGGTACACCACCTGTATTAAAGGCGTGTCTTGGGTTAGGCACCTTCACACATCCATGGTCATGTAAGGGCTGTATGTAATTAAAATGCCTGGTTCCTGCTCTCAGGGAGCTTGCAGTCTGATGATAATAGGCATAACAGATGAATGCTAGATTAGTTTCTCCCAAGAGGCAGAGGACAAAGGACAGGATTGATGAGCTGTGGGTTTACACAGGATAAAAAAGCACCCTGTATGATGTTTGCTATGTGGAGGCATGTTGTGCTTGTGAGGAGCATGTCTGACCATTCTTTTCTTGAGCCTCAGTGGGTGAAGCCAGGTTTGGATAATATGTGCCATTATCTAATCCGTACTTTGGCAAAAAACAAAAACAAGCTCCCTTTGTCTACTGCTCTAGCAGGACTAAAGCAAAGCAGTGATGCGGAGCAGCCAGTGTTTGAGGATCTAATTTGATAACTTGCTCTGCCCCACCCTGTGCCACTCAGAATTGCCAGGAAATATTTGTTCGGTTTTTTTTTTCAGATCCCAGATTTAGGTCATTGAAGGCAAATGGCATGACCCAACTAGGGGAAGGGGGCAAGGGCTAATGAACTCATTTTTTGGAGATGGGGAAGTGTGGACCTGGTAAAAGCCAAACCAACTTAGCATTAATTAGTAACGTGAATCTCAGAGGCCAAAAGAAGCCTGATTTCCCAGCAAGGGAATTAGGAACTGGGAAGAAGCTTACCGGACCAGGTTCCCCCGAATGCAGGAGACAGGTTCGACGAAGTGACTTTCTGCCACACCGAAACACCCAGAAAACCTCATTCCAACTGTGATATCAAAGTCCCTGAAAGCGGGCTCTCTCCCTCCCTTCTCCCCGAGTCCTAATCTATTAACTCAACACTGTTTGAGAGGACTACAGACACCACTAGGGTGGGGTGTAGTTTTGAAATCCCAGGTTCAAAGCCAGCGGCCCCTAATTCTCACATTCTGATGGATGAACCCCCAGCAGAGGAAGCTGGTTTTAACTTCTGCCTTGCCACATACCATCTTTCTCCCAGGAGAGATAGGGGGTCAGTTTTCTCCATCTTTCCCAGCTTTTGCAAATGGGTTCTGCTCGGTGGTCTCTAAAAGGGGCCTCTGGACTTCTCTGAAGTTTGCAACACTAGTCGCAAACTCCTGGTTCAACTCTTGAAAAAACAAAGACAAAGCCATGGAAATTTCAGTCTCTTCCTTTTGTTGCTTCCTTGTTCAGTAGGATTGCTCTACTCATGCACCCATAAACCAAATAGACCTTACCTTGCCTTCTCTCCCACCTGGTCTCCTTAGTCTTCTGGTGAGTAAGCAGCAGCGGTACTGAAGAACCACCACCCTAAAACCCCAAAGCAGGAGGCTCCAGGCTCTGCTGCCTTAGCTTAGTAATGGCTGCACAGACACTGGGTTATATTTGCTTGTGTTTGCATCTTAACCGCATTTGCCTAGTCCTAGCCAATCACAGCCAACCTAGCCCTGGGCTTGACTTATTCAAACCAGAGGGAAAGCTTTATCTGTTCCTATTCAAAACAGCAAAAACAAGAAGAGCAGACTTTTAAAGGCTTCTTTTCTAACTCCAGCTCCACGCCCTAATCTAATTGATTTTTTACAAGTGCGTAGCCCATCAATAATGCAGGAAAGGGGGTGGGAGGAAATATGAAATCTGCCCTGTTGTCGATATGGATGCATTATGCTGATGACAGGAGAGACAGGGGCTGGAGCGCCCTGCTGTGGGCTCCCAGGATATCCAGGCCTCCCTGATAAGCTTTTCGGCGTTTCTCTGAGGGGAGGCCTGGGAGAGGGCCGGGAGATGTTACTAGCTTATCCAGTTTTGCTCCTTGGGCCACCACTAGCCATCCATCCATCAGTGTTCGAGTGACTATGTGCTGGGAGTCATGCTGGGCTCCTGGTTTGGGGGCTTCGGTGAAGGGCACAGAAGAAACAAGACTCCAAATCTCGCGGGGTTTCTGGTTCATCCCCAGAAGTCAATAGGACACCACGCATATGCTTGTTAAACACCTGGATGGCAAAGTTGGTTCCAAATGCGGGCCAGGGAAGAGCTAATGTGGACCAACTCCTATAACCTTGAGCAGTAGTCCAATGCTGAGTCTGCAGCGGGTCTCCTGGGTGGATGCAGCAGCTCGTCCAGCCGGGGTGCTACGGCTTTATCACCACCAAAAGGGTTGCGGGGGAAGAAGAGCGGTGCCCGAATGAACAACAGCAGGGTCAAGAGGCAGTTCCCATTCCTGGATGGGTTTTTTTAAACCCACTTTTATTAATTGTAAGTAATACAAATACTCCAAAAATATAAACAGACACTTAATGGCGTCCAACATTTCAAGTTTTTGAATACAACAAATTTATCAAACCATGAATCTGTAACCAAGGTAGTCAGAATCCCACAGCCCCATCACAGTGGGAAGCTGATCCCCCAACCCTGCAAATGGCATCTTGAAGGGGGAAACAGGCAGGAGATGGACCGCGTCAAACTTGGGACAGTAACAAGCAGAGAAGCTCATGGGGTCAAAGAGGAGGGTCTGCTCCAGGGACAGGTCCCACAGCAATAATGGAATGGGGCAGCCGGCCAGCTCCTCTGACCTCCCCTCCCCTGGCTGAATGCAGATATTAACTGGCTTAAAAAAAAGAGCAAAACTTAAAACCATGTTTTACAAACAAGGTGACTGAAGGACACTGGAAGAGGAAAACGCTCTCACCTCCCCAGACCCCTGGCCTGGCTGCGACACAGATGCAGGACAGCCTTAAAGGGCTGTCCTACCAGTGAGGCACTGGGAAGAAGGCAGGGGCAGCAGAATAGAATGGGATCCATTTCCCAGGGCATGACTGCCTGGAGACTTCCCATGCTTTAGCACAAAGAAACTTCTGGGCCATTATTAACAGAGGTGCGTTTACACATTTACAAAACGGTTAAAGTCTTTGGGAGGCAGGAGGGAGCTGAACAGAAGGTCCCAGGTTAACCGAAGGCAAACTGCCGTAAGGTTATCTGTTCAGCAATTAAACGTGCACTTAGGGTCCAGGACACATCTGCACTCCTCTCTAGTAAGGGACCCACGGGCCTACAGAGTGTCCCCTCTACAATGTGCAGAGTGGAAACCCTTACCTGACCCCTTTCCAAACTGGTCCTGTGTCCAAAGCTCCCCCTATGAGAGGGACACGAACATCAGGCTTTTGATTTAGAAGCCCAATCAGAGAGACACACTGTGTCCCTGAAGAGGCACCTTAAAGAACTGAACCTGGCAAGTGGGCAGATTCCTGACATGGCTTGAATTGATTGCTGACCAGGCACTGCGGCCTATTGCTTCCTGAAGACCAGTCTCAAATGGGAAGAGCTCATGGGAAGCTGCTGGGATGAAATGGCTCCCTCCCAATCTTGCCCTCCTCCAAAATGGAGTCTGGCCTGATTCCTCTAAGGAGCAAGTTTTGCATTCATCACTTGCCTCCTAACACACTGCGAAACTGGAAGCAGGACAGCAAGTAATGACTTTAGGCTGGCTCTGGTCCACATAAGGGACCCTGTTTATTTGGCCGAGTTCCTTCTCCACGACAGGGAAGAGAAGGGGAAGTGGGAATGGCATTTCTGTTGAGGGACTGCAGGCGGGCAGGGTTCCGACAGGAGCGATGCCCATAAAGCAGGGCTTCATGCACAAGCAGCAGGGACACTTCCACCAAGCCATCCTGGGCTCTAGTCATGGGTCACTCTGGGCACTTGCACAAGCAGGGAAGGGGGGCACAGGCTTTTCTTCCACCTAGAAAAACGTGCAGATCCAAAGGAGAGCAGAAAGGGCCCCAGGATCCGGATCAGGCTTAGAGCCTCTTATTGCTTACTTAGCCAGAAAAGCTTGCTGGGCCCAGAGGGCAGAAGATTTGACCCAAGGGCTACCTAACACTTAGGTTATCCACAATATTAGGACGGAGGCCTAGGCCAGGGCCTGGCTCTGAAGCCACAGCAGGCGTTGGAATCAGCTCTTGCTTTCCTTCAGGAGACACAGTTCCTGGCTAGCACCTAGAGCCCTCTTCCCCTTACTCGCAGCCAGACCCCCGGGCACCAGGGAATGATGCTGGGGGAAATGACCACATTGGCCTTGGGGATTCTCTGTTCCACTTCTGTGGCACCAAAGGGGGAAGACAAGGCCTTAGAACCTTGGGACAAGGAGGGGAGGTGGCACCACAATGCTAAAGAAAGATACCAGCCAGCTAGCACTCAGAACACCAAGCTCCCGTCTGGCCACCTGGTTACTTTCTGATGCTGGACCTAGGGTTTGGAAATTGAAAAAGATAATAGGGGTGAGTCCTGAGTGGGAGGTGTCCTGCACCTGAAGCAATTTACAAAGGCTTTGTGATACCTGCCTCCAGGGAAAACAGAGAAGGGAACAGGAACTCCCTCTCACCCCAAAGGAAGGGAGGGCAGAGGAGAGAGCCCCAACCAGCCCCGGGGGAGGCCAAGATTAAGGCAGTGATGCTGAGACAGGGCTCCCTTTTTGGGGGTCCCCTTGTGCTCCCAATTATAGCAGCACTTCCCCTTTTGTTTTCTACCCTGGGGAAACTTCCATTTTGTGACTATTTTTTAAAGCATTCACTATTAAGAAGTTTTGAAGGCAAGAGACACCCAAAGCACAGGTGTGTGAGGGGCTCACTTACACCGGAGCTCTTTGGGCACCAGTTACCAGAGGCAACTGAGTTACGCAGGCAAACCTAAGTGAAGAGAACACCCACTCCTTCAGCTCAGGAAAATCAGGCATGTCTCTGAGGCCCTGGAGAGAAAAAGCAACAGCCAGGAAGGATGAAGGCTGGAGCGGACAGAGCTCAGCACAGCACAGCCCGGGGAAGACGCAACAGGAAAAGAGCCCACCCAAGAGACAGGATGGGCTGAGGCAGCTTAGAGCCGCCCTTCCCAGCCTTTGGAACAAGAGTCCTTGCGCCAGCACCACTGAGAATCCCTGAAGAGCAGACTCGTGGAAACAGTCCCGAGCTCGGCTGGTCTACAAGCTAAGGGAATACACACATTCATGCTTTGGGATCCTCTTCCCTGCACCCCCAGCACCCCCTCACATTCATCTCAGGCCCGGGACTACAGCTTTGTCAGAAACAAACCCGGCCCAACACTCCAAGTTTAGAAAGAGAGTTTTAAAACAGAGTGAATGAACGGAAATCAGTTCTGTGTCCTCTTCCAAGGCAGGGAGAAGACCTCCTCCCCCACAGGTTCAAGACTATGGCTAGGTGGGGAGGAAGGCAGGCCCAGCCCCAGCCACTGAGGAGACACAGCAAGGGTCCACGCCAGGCACTTGGCTGGAGGCAAGTGCAGCACTTGGGCCACAGGACCCCATGGCGACCAGGGTGCCAGTTCTGGAAACAAGTTCTCATCTTCCCAGAAGTGTTGTCTGTCTGCAGCAGCTGGCTGGAAGAAGGCTTCAGAAAGGCATGTGCCTGGGACGTCCAAAGGCAGCCTCTGACCTGTCCTTTCTCCTTGGCACAAGCCTTACAACACTGACGAAAGGCCATGGGTTTGGCAAGAGAGCCTTCAATAGTCTTCATCCCTACAGAGCTCAGTGGCTCTTAGGGTGACTGCAGAGGAGACGAACTAACTTGGGGAGAGTCTTGACCATTCCACTTCTCCCCCAACCTGAAACACTGAACATCCTGTGGCCAGTTCAAGGCCAGTCACACACACACAAGACACACACACACACACACTCACACTCAACACATACACATCTTGGGAACCCAACTCAGGGAGCAGGTAATTCTGGGTATCGTTGGTCTGTTATTTGCCCGCTTGGCATCTAACCTGTCCTAAAGCTCTTTCAGACCACTTTTCACTATTTCCAGGCCCCATCTGGTGAGGCACCGCAGCTTTCACTCTGTCGGGATGATCATAAAGGCACGATGTAGGAAAGTCCCCTACTAGGATGGCCGTTGCTTGGAAGCAGGGAAGGCTAAGGGGCCCGCAGCTGCCCAAGGCTGGTGTAGACATCCTCTGCTCCGCTCAACTCCTCAAATATTGGGATCAGGTTCAGCAACTCGGTATCGGCCATGTCATCAAACCAAGACTGCACGGGCACCTGGGGCAGGGAACAAGGTAGAGTAAATCCCTCGACTACCAGATCTTCCCTTCCCTCACCCCAGAGCTCCTGGAGGCTGAGTGCGTCCGCTGGAGTGGTAAGGCTCCCCTGGGCAGGGACTCCCCACCCCTGCAGTGTGGGTGCATCTGGATCACTCACTGCATTCTCCGGATGGAAGATGTAAGAAGCAGGCGAGTTGTCCAGGATGAGGGTTTTCCTCAGGTCCCTCCCCAGGCGGCTCAGATCCTTGACATAGCAGCCCTGGTGGAATACACAGGACTCACGGAACAGGCGGGCCCGGAACACCCCACGCCGGTCCAGCAGATCTGTCACCGGGTCAGCATACTGGGAGAAGAGAAGATGCCTTTGTTTGGACGCAGTTTGGGTTCCCCCGCGGCATGCTGTGGACAGCGAGCAGCTGTGGGACCACCCCTGTGCAGCCACGTCTCCTCCTCGTTCGTCTCCCCTCCTGCCCCCAGGTACCTTGGCCAGGCTGGCAGTGAAGAGAACACATTCAAAGAGTTCCCCCATTCGTCTCAGGAACTCATCCACATAAGGCCTCTTGAGCACATACACCTGAGGAAAAGCAGAGCAGCGTGTTGGAGGCATCCCTGTGTGGTTGAAGCATCCGTCCCTTTTACCACTTACACTAAGAACAGCAAGTAAGTTCAGACTTACTCTACCCAGATTCCCCAAACCCAGCCATTCGGACAGCTGGTCAAAAGCCTTGTGCCCCACAGACCAGGGCACTGGCATCATTCCCTCCCTAGGTTTCTGATGGCTCGCGATCCCAATCTTGACCCAGCTCAGGAAGAAACACACACGCCCGCATTCCCGGAGCCATCTCTGTTTCCAGCGGTGGACCATCAGCTGCCTCCAGAAACAAGTAATCAAGAATAGGCCTCACAGATGGAAACAGCCTATCCTGGATTACTTGAATCCAGCCACAGCCTCTGTGGAAGCCTCCTGTCCTTGGCTCCGGCAGGACAGTCTGTCCAGACCACCATCAGCACAACACAAACATTTCCTGAAACCTCAAGCCCTCACAGAGCTTCTCCAAACTGCACCAGGAAGAAGCAACCTTTTCCCAATGACCTCAGACCAGACACGCACGCTTCTTGCTCTTGTGTCCTCTATTTCATGCTCGCTCCTGCCATCCACCCCAAACCCCGTGTCTACCCATCAGGATCTTGCACATTTGGCCTAAAGGGTTCTTTGGCTAAACGTCCCCCATCCGTCTGCACTCTGCTGTTCCCCTCCTCCAGTCTCTCTCCCTCTCACCTAGCCTACTACACAGCTGCTACTAGAACCCTTTTCTTCAAAGCCCCCTTTTTATCCATGTCACTCGCTAGCTCAAAGAGCTGGGGCCTGCTGTGATGTGCTCCTGCCTAGCACCGACCCTCCCTCCTGCACTGGTCCGAATCACCCACCAATTTGCCAGTCCCCCTGAGCTTCACAGCAGGAAGCCTCTACCTCGGGCAGTCACATCTTTGTTCCCATTAGCCTTGCCATTTCTTCAACATTCAACGTGTCTCTCCCTCCCTTCCTGACTCTTCACCAAGCTTGATACCCCCTCATCGCCACTCTTTGCCCAAAACTCGCCTTCAGCAGGCAGCCGTCCCTCGCTTTAATCTCATCTCTTTATTATTTACGTCCCTTTCTTGTTAACCAGGAGTTCACAGTGTATGTTTGCCTGTTTGAAAATCTACCACAGTCTTCTCCCCCACGGGTTTTGTGCATCTCTGTACCCTCAACTAGACTGTAAAGGGTTTGTGGGCAGGGTCTGGGAAGTCCAAGGGGCAAGCCTGGTTGTGACCAGGGGTTGCAGCTTTGCCTGGCAGGCGGAGCACCTTGTTGGGGGAGAAGAAAGCTTCTAATGGACACAGAATAGGAATGACATGCCACAGAAGCCTTAAACCTCATTTCTCTACGAGTAACTCTACTATTTGACTGGGCCATGCAACCAAATACCAGGACTACCAGGGCATCTGTTTCCACCGGTCCCTGACTCTTGGGATAGCGGGCAGGCCTTCTAGGCAAACGTTTTGGTAAACTGTCTTTCACTATCAATGCCGCATGATCCTTAACCCCAGACTGAGCAGGCTATACAGGGCTGGAGCCTAGTCTTGTTTAGACTTTTCATTCTGTTTACTTTGTTTAATACTCTTTATTCTGACAGATGTGTACCAAGCATGTACTCGGGTAGAATCCAGTTTAGGGAGCCAAGGAGAGGGGAGCTGGGATAGGCTTCACAGAGGGGGAGATGCCTGGGCTGGGAAGGAAGGAATTTACTAGCTAGTTGGGGGTGGGTGGGCATTACAGAGAGGGCATTCCAGGCAGAGAAAACAGCCTAGACTGGCTTCCTTGCCTGTGACAGGGAGAGACACCAATTATTCAGGATAATACGTAATCATGTAATAAATCATATAATAGTGCGGCAACGTGGGGGGGTGTGGTCAATAAATGATAGCTACTACTATTATTAAATAATGCAAACTGTTCTTCCAGACAGCTTGGCTACGAGAGAAAAAATGGGGGAGATATTAGAGGAGGATACGGGGCTGAAAGGAGCCCTGGTGGCGCAATGGGTAAGAGCTACAACAAACTACGGGTGCGAATCCAAAGTCGGCAGTTCAAATCCACTAGCTGCTCCTTGGGGCAGTTCTACTCTGTCGTATAGGGTCACTATGAGTCAGAATTGACTTGATGACAACAGGTTTGGTTTTGGTTTATGAGGCTGAAGTCACACCAGCTGTAAAGGGGTGGAAGGTCTGGAGCCCAGGTGAATAGCAGGAGGTAGGCTGCCCACCCGCTGGGCTGGGGATGACCTGGCAGGCAGCTCACCTGGTGAGTGATCCCCTCAATCTCTACAGGCACTATGAAGTCAGCATTGCTGATTGGCTGGAAGGCAGAAAAGTTAATGAGGTGAGCATGGTATAGAGCGGACAAGAAACCTCTACCACAGCCCAGTCGGTCCCCTGCACAGCCACTGGCCCATCCCACAGGAGGGGCAGAGAGAAACAGATTCTAGACTCCAGGAAGCTCATCCTGCCACCCCAGTACAGGGTGCGATCCCCTCTGGTTTTCCCTACTTCCTCCTCCCCCCCAATTCTACCTAAGCTGCAAGAGATTTGGGGCCTTCTTGAGTTAAAAAAACTTCCTGCTTTTCCAAACTAAGAGAGGGGCAAAGTCCAAGGCGGATTTAACTCCTCTTTTAGGCCTGCTCTGTACGGAGCCCTGGCAGCTCTCTGTGGTATGCGGCCATTGGGATTGGCAGTTGTTGGGGCAAGGAGGGGGGGTCCTACCCGACATTCTTCGGTGTGGTCTCCAGATGTGTGTGATGTCAAGATTACCAAAATGCCAGAGCCTGCCCACCCCCCTCTTCTGGCCATCCTCTATCCTCAACTTCAGGCCACCTCACAGCACTGAGATGCTCACAAAGACAGATGCAGGAAGGGCTCCTGACATGGGGTTACCTTAAAGGAGCTATGCACGAGGGTTTCATCCAGGTCAATGACCACACATATTCTTCCTTGATCTTCCTCTGTCACCTCTGGGAGCAGGCAGGTCCCTGGGATCTGAAACCAGAGCCAGGCTGCTGAGATCTGCCCACCAAGAAAGCCCAATGGTTCCTTTCAGCTGAACTCTGGAAGAGCTGGGCTGATCGTGGAGACAGAAGACCCTCCATTTCACTATCCCAGGGCTGGCACCACTTGATGGTCAGGAGATAGAGAAAGAGAAGATAGACTTGGCTGCTTGGTTTCCAGCCTTCCAGTGGGACAATTAAAGTGATCTGGACATTGGAGTGGAGGTCAGGGCTAGGCTGGGATGTACATGAGCTGTGGGAAGAGGGCATGTCGCTCCCGCTACTCCTCAAAATCTAATATGCTTTGCACATAGTGGACTCTCAACAAATATCCAGAACATATGGCTTCCCTGGGTGGGGAGGTGACCAGCCAGGGACCAAGGAGTGAGGGCATCACCCTGCGGAGAGGGCGGGGGATCCCCAAGTCCCAGGCTTCTGAGCACGAACCCTGCCAGACTCACATACCTGATAAAACTGGTATTGGAGACACTGGAGCAGATCCGACTGAAGAGAAGAAGGAGACGGTCAGTGCCGACCCACCGATGCCTCCCTCGCCCTGTCCCAACCTACTCTTTCTGCCTCAGGCCGGGAGGATAACTTTCTCCCCGAGACTCCGGCAACCCAGACGCTCCTAACATGACAAAAGTGACTTTTCTCAGCAGGTAGGCAGGAAAGGTGAAAGGCCAGTTTTCTTCCCACAGTAGGCCTGAGGCGGATGGAGAAGGTGGTGTTCCTGTTCTCAGTGGGACAAACTGAGGAACAGGAACTCAAGCAGTTGACTCAGGGACAGAGAGTCAGAAGGAGAACCAAGATCTCAGCTCCTCACTCTGGTGCTTTAATCTCTTGCTCAGTCCTTGAACTCAGGCTTTTCTTTGAGAACACGTGTTTTCTATGTTCCCCTTGGAGGGAAATGTTGGGGAGCACCGAGCCCCACAAAACGTCAAATAAACCAACATGAACTCACATTATGGGTACCCGAAGCGTGAGGGGAGGCAGAGTGCAGAGATCAGAAAGCCTTCCCTCCCTTTTGCTAGTAATAAAATCGTTGTGGTTGTAAAAAGTATTAAGTGTTCGTGATGAAAATCTTGAAGAAGAAAAAAATCCTAGCACTTACCCCACGTGTGCAGAGTAGAACTGCTCCATAGGGTTTTCAAGGCTGCGACCTTTCTGAAGCAGATCACCAGGCCTGTCTTCTGCGGTGCCTCTCAGTGGGTTCAAACCACCAACCTTTCGGCTAATACTTGAGCACTTAGCCATTTGCAATACCCAGTAACTTCAATACTATATAATTTCACATTCTCTTTTTTTACAATGTTACAAAACTCAATACTTTTCCACATTATTGCAAACTTGTAAAAATTAATTACTTAGTAACACTGTTACGTTGTACTTTATCTTACCCTTTCCCCTTTTATTGGATAATGCGTGATTTTTCATTGGTGTGCATGTCTTTAGCCTATTTTTCGTTGTTGTTCTTCTTCCCTCCTTAACATAAACTCACTTCCCCCTAAGGTTCCTATCTCATCTTTTAAGTTTCTGTTGTCAATTTGATCCCATATAGATAGTTCTTAAAAGAGCATAACGCTCAAGGCAGCCCTTTTTTACAAATTAAGCTAAACTACTGATGCAGTTTTAAGATAATTTCAGGGGATATTTTTGGTTTAAGATTTAAAGATTATCTCAGGGCAATAGTTTCAGGGGTTCTCCCACCCTCCATGGCTCCAGAAAGTCTAGAGTCCATGGGAACTTGAAGTTTTGTCCTGTATTTTTCCCCTTTTGATTAGGATTCTTCTATGGAACCTTTGATCAAAATGTTCAGTAATGGTAGCCAGGCACCATCCAGTTCTTCTGGTCTCCTGGTGAAGGAGGCAGTTATTCATGGAGGCAATTAGCCACACAGTCCATATCCTCCTCCTATTCCTGACTCTCTAGCCTGGTTTTGAGAGAGAAGGGTGGGCTAGGCCTTGATGTTTTAGAAAGGGACACCACTGGCATTGGGGGCAGGATTATTTTTGGATAGGGTTGGTCCTACCCTCAAAATGTCAGAAATATCTTCTGGTCATTGTGACACATCAAAAATGCCCCCACACTTACAAATGCCTCTCACAGGTATAGGTGACAGCTACTAGAAGGGGTTATCAAGAATGTGGTAGATAAGTGGTAGCATTTCAATTCCCTGGTTCCCTGCAAGTTGTGTAACTTAGAAGGTAGCTTTACATAGTAAAAAAAATGACAACAAAAAAAGGCTTTAGAGCCAAGAGACATCTGAACTTGAATACTGACACTACTATATATTAACCATGAACTCTTCAGGAATCTTTAACCCCTTTGGGTCTCAATCTCCACATCTGTAAAGTGGGAATATGGTGAATCTCCTTGCAGGGCTGCTGTGTGGACCATACAGAGCAACATAAGCAAAACACTCTCCACAATTTCTGGAACCTGGAAGGGTCTGGACCACAGGGACATCTGGATGTGGAGGCCCACACACTAAATGGGAAGCAACAGAAATGATATGGGTCAATAAGCAAAGGACAGTGGCAGGGCCTCCTCTGAGCCTGGGATCTTTGCAACCTCAGCAAAGTCATCTTGCCCACTTGCCATAGTCTGCAGGGATCCCCCACCAGCAGTCCCTCCTCGCCTGCACCCTGGCCACCCTGATACAGGTACCTTAGCAATGGTGTTGGTTTCCTCCTTGTATGCGGCGAGCTCAGTAGAGGAGCTTGACTGGCCAACATGCTGGGCACGAAAACAGCAGAAGAGGGCCTTAAAGATGCTACGCCCACGAGGCTTCTTAGGAGAGGACTTGGAGACCAGGCCTAGAGCAGAGAGAATGACAGAGACATCAGCTACAGGTAACTCCGTGACCATATCCCCTCTAGTATGTGAGCTTTACCAGGCCGCGCAGTATGTGCTTGGTGAGTGACCAAATACAGTTAACGGTAAAACATACGTGTTCTTTTTTTTTTAAACTTTGTTAAAATTTTGATGGAAATAGATATAAATAAAGATAAACAGCTAAATCTCTAAATAAAATGCTGACATACTGGGGTGAAATACTACACCAAAGCAAGGCTTTTTGAAGAATATCATAATAAAATTTCCAAATTAAGCTGTCTTAAAAGACCTGGTGATCTGCTTCTGTAGGAACATACATGTTCTTTATTCCAACACCTTCTCTTTAAAGCAGAAACAGAAGGAATCACCCACTCTCTGGTTTGGGAAACACAGCACATGAGCTGCAGAGGATTTACTTCATTCCATTGGGAGATGCCTCAAAGACGAGGTCAGGTATAGAATCCAGGTATTCTGGAACCCAAGTGTTCCGCTCTGGTAGCAGCCCACTGACAGTGCCTCAAAATTAATCTACAAAGACAAAACTCCCTAACGCCAGATTCCAGGAGACTACCCATTCTACACAAGGGAATAAGCTCGTCCCTTTCAAGTTAGCAGGAGCTGCAGTTCTGTTCAGTGTCAGCCTGCATAAATTCTGGCTCAGTGGCTGCAGGACTGAGCCCAACTTGCCTGAAGACTCCAGACTAAAAACTCCAAACAGACAGACCCAAGGAAGAACGATACTCTTTGTTCACACCTTTGTCTCCTTCCCACACTCCAAGCCACTTTCTTTAATACCTCTTCCCCTCAGAGACACACTGCCTTACTGGTAAACTGCAGGTGGATCATCCCTTTGGGACATACACATCCAGCCTCCGGCTCTCGACTGATGTATCTGCTTTTAGACCACAGCTGCTCAGTCCTACGACGACAATTTGGACTTTAGAGATATGAAGCCATTTTAATAAAAGGCTTGATAAGGCAGCCCCAGAAACGGCCACCAAAACAAATGAAATGTGTTGCCGTTGAGTCGATTCTGACTCATAGCGACCCTACAGGACAGAGCAGAACTGCCCCATAGGGTTTCCAAGGAGTGCCTGGTGGATTCGAACTGCCGACCTTTTGGTTAGCTGCCGTAGCTCTTAACCACTGTGCCACCAGGGTTTTAGAAAAGGCCAAGCTGATACAAAACCTTACAGGCATGAAAGCACCAACCAGAAGTGGATTTCAGAGTATCTTCTGTAAGTTCCTTTTGCTTTAGATGAACTGTTCCAACAGCTGTAAGCGACAGCAGGAAGATGCGATGGGTATCGTGGCCAGCAGGTGGCGCTGCACAACCATACACAGAATGGTCCTCAGCCACAGGTCTCCTCTCCTGAGGACCTGAGTGTCCCAGACCTGAGCTGGACATGGGCCTTAGGATTAAGCCCGAGCCATTTCATTGTAAAGCTTGGGGAACTATACTCTGCAGGAAGATAAACTGCAATGCCTCTTTGTGTGGGTAAAGAAAAACAAAACGTGCCATTCAGGACAACTTCCTCTGTTGTTCCTTGGGGTGGGGGTAAAGGGAAGGGGAAGGAAATGTGGTAGGGGCCACCCAGGAGCAACACAGAGCTCCCGGCTTAGTCCTTAGAGCACAAACCTACGCGGCCCTTGCAGAAATACATGATGGGAGAGTCACTTAATGCCCAGTTATTGGGCTGCCTGTGCCCCTGGAGAGGAGAAAGAGAAGGAGAGAAAACCAAATTCTACTCCCTAGGAGCAAAGGTCCTAAACAACAGTCAGTCAAGTGGCAGTCAGCCCTGCCCTGAGGATGACATGATTCAGCTCTGACTCAACAGGAAGGCCAAGGACTCCCTGCAGGTGCAGACAGAAGCCTTCTAGACCACTCGGTCAGTCCAGAGAACTCTCCCTGTCCCCTCCCCGGGTTAGGCCAGGTGCCCTAACATGGGTATGATCACTGGAAACCTTTCAGAAAATGACTGGGCCTCCCCAGCAATTAGCCTAAAAACCTGGATGTCCACTCTTGAGCTCCTGGTCCTGGTGGAGAATCAAGATTTCCAGGGGCCGGGGACCTTGTCCTGAAGAAAAAAGTTGCACTGGCTATATCCCAAAGGCCCCTCCCTGTGTTAAGGAGACAAAACTCAGAGAAGAGCCCAGCACTTAAAGACAGCAGGATGAGAGGCTCCTTGGATTTCCCCTTCTACTCTTATTAATCTATGCAAAATTGGAGGGAAGGCCAGCTTCCCCACCTGCCTGCACAGCCCACGCTAAATTCCAAGCCCAGTGACTCAGGGCAGACGCTGACACAAAGCTCCAAGACCAAAGCTGAACCATAGCTTTTCCTTTGGTTTATGGTTTCCTCACGTAGAACCACAATCAGAGGCTTAACCGGAGCACGGAGCCTTTCTTAAAAGGCCACAGAGCCCGGGTCTTTCCTGAAGAGAGGCCATCAAGAACGCACTCAGTATCTTTGTGACAGACGCTGTGAACGCTGAGTAATCCTGAGAGGCGGGGGGTTAAGAGGGCAGCTGGCTGGGGCCAGGCTGAGGCCTCCAGGCCTTGCTTGCTTCCACCACGGGAGGCCAGAGGACAGAAATGCCTCAGCCCTAGACAGCGAGCTTGGGGGGTGGAGGCACTCCTCAGCTTGGTTTGGACTCTGCGGGGGATGAGGGTCTTCTAAAAAACACAATGTGATCAGGCAGTCCTTGGGCCTCAGAGACCACAAATGCCTTGACCCCAGGGGCACAAAGAGGGCTGGTGTTTGGAACAGTTTTCAGAGCTGCTGCACGCCTGGGGAGAGTACCCCAGACCCACAACAGCGAGGTCAATACCCCAGATGTCCCTCACTTCCCCCTCCCCCATTGGGGCCCCACTTCCCTCAATTCTTCCCCAGGCTGCCTGTCCTCCTTACCCTTATGAACACTGCTTCTGAGCACCCATCAGGGCCTGCCTTGGCCTCCCCTCAACATGGCTGCCTTCTGGCGGGGCCTGCAATGGCCTCAGTCTGGTACATCCATCAGCCTCCAGCCCTCTGTGTGGCAGGTGTTCAGTAACTCTGACTAGCTGAGTGAGTGATTCTGGGGGGTCTCCAGGGCCTGTCAGTTCTACCGGCCTGGGGAAGCCGTCACTGGTTTGTAGCAGCCCAGGAACAGTAAGAAACAGAAAAGCCTACTTTACATGATGACAGGCAAGTTGGGCCCTGAAGGAGCTAGGCACACAAGGCATGCCACTTAGTCCTTCTGGGCCGCAGTCATGTTTACTGAGCATGTGTCAGGCCCATGCTAGACACTTCACATCATTACCTCACTTCATCCTCACTACATTTACAGAAGGAAAACTGAAGCACAGAGAAGTTAAGCAACATGCTCAAGGCCACACAGCTAGTATGAGAGTAGAGTCGGATTTGAACCCAGGTCTGCCTGAAGCCAGAGCCAAGGCTCTCAACCACTACTGCATAAGGCCCCCTAGCTCAGAGGCATCATGCACATTTACTAGCTCAACACAGCCAGGTCACGCATTCTCAAGTTCCAGGGGTCTTTTCTCTTTTGCTCTATTCCTGATAAAAGAATGGTTTGAGGTCCAGTCCTCCTTTTTTTGTCCTCTTAGGCAGGCCAGTAAAGGTCAAAGTACAGTATGAGGATTCTACTCCAGGCCCCAACCTAGAGCCCCCAAGCCCCACACCTGCTCCAAGCAGGAGATGCCTCTGGGGGAGCAAGAGGACAATAGGGAAGGGGGGCGGGGCCGGAGCCAGGAGCTTTGGTCCAAGACCTGCTTTGTTCTGAAGGTTTAAGGGTGCGGGGGAACCACACACCAGACTGGGATCTGAAACTCAAGTCAAAGAGCCTTTGAAATGGCTCCTTTCAGCCAGCACTCAGCATTGTGTCCCTGACAGCCAGGTGCAGGCCACTCCCACTCCTCCATATGTAATGGGGACGGGCACAAGTCTCCTCCCCAGGAGAACACCGGACCCAAGATGATTACAGGTCCCCGGGGTTTTCATCGCACACGGTTTCCCCAATGAGGAGGGCAGGCTTCCAGTGGGTGCCATGACCAGCTGCTCTCTCCCCTTCATGCCCCAACACCCCCTTGTGATAGCCAGCCCTATTCTCCTGCCCAGCTTCTGAAATGCATCTGGTCTCCCTGCTCCAAACAGCTGGTTGGGGGCTGGATGTTGGAGAGGACTGAATAACCCACTGGAGTGGGCCCCCCACGGAGGGCAGGGAGGGCAGCCTACCCGTCCCGCTCACCTTCCTTCAGAGGCAGGGTATGAAAAGAGGAAGGCACAGGAGGTACCCCTCCCCCTGAGGGCCACCTGGACGGGGTCCAGGTTCTAAAGTTACTGACTGAGCAAGAGGGAACAGCCACACAACCTCTTTGAGCCTCAGTTTCCTCATCCATAAATTGGGATAACAAGACCTCACTCATGACCGAAAGGATATACAAAACTTATAGTAATGTGCCGTGAAAACGCTGAAGCTAAACGCTTGTGCTTGTTTTAATTAAGGAGAGATGACCACTAATTGGCATCCATCAGGGCCTCATTCTAGAAGGCCAGCCACAGATCAGGAGCCCTCCCCACTCCCATCATGCGGTTGAAGCCCAAAGATCAGAAGATGAGGGAAAAGTGTCTCAGAACTCTGATCATGAGCAGGTATCAAAGAGCCAAAACAACTCCAACACCCTGTCCCAAATCCACTACAAAGTTATTTTTTAGTTCACAAACTCCCCAACTGGTGTGGTGCAAATAAAGGGAAAGTCAGGTTAGAATACAAGCTCTCTAAGGTGAGGCCAGCCCGCTTGAGGCAATGTTGCCCTCTCCCCTACTGCCTCCAAGAAGCCCCAGATGAGGACACTATTTCCCTCTGTCTCTTCAGAAGCGTGTGCATGTAGACGGGTGCACAGATGCATACATATAAGATGAAGACAGGCTCTGCCAGGACAACACAGTTTTTAACCTTTTTCTGAAGGTCAGGTCCAGGTT